TAACAGCTAAATTGTGCGGTAGATGCCGTTTTCAACCTAGGGCCTAAAATGAGGGGTAGCTTTAAAGTAATAAAACTGAGCTCTTCAGTTGGATTCTAAAATCACCTGTTAAAGGGAAGTTCTGAAATTGTTTTGCACACTGGAAGCATTATTTGAAAAAATATGTATTTTCAAATACATATATACATATATATATATATATATAATTTTTTTCAAATATTGGGTTGTTGGAAAAGTCATGACATTTTTCTATGTTTTTTTTTTTTGCAAAAATGCGTCATGATTTTTCCGACAACCCAATACATATGTATGAAATCTCCAAGAGTAGCCAATCCAAAGAGCAGTACTTATCACTAAGGACCTCAGATGTTAATTTGCACACTTTCACTTTCCTGTTCCATGCTATCTCCTGTAGATCTTGGGGGTACAGAGCCGAATAAGACATGGGTCCCTGCCCACAAGGAACTCCAGAGAAAGGAGCAAATGTGTTTATAATACAGTGCAATGAGTGTTATAATATTAATATGAGCAAAGATTTGCTTCAAAAGTGTTGTCCACAGATTAATAACTAGCCACTGAATCATGGATAAATGAGAATCTCATCTGAAATAAGTACAGTTTGTTTGTAGTTACGGAAGTAGCCGCTTTTCCTCTCCTGCCTCCGACCTTGCTGCACACGGGCATTTCCTCTGCCTGGAGTGCTGCTCCCACCTGCCTGTCCCCACCCGCAGCCGCACTGAATTCTCTCCTTCGGATCCCAGCCCCGATGTTACTTCTCTAGAAGCCTTCCCACACTTCTTCAGTCTCAATTAGATTCACCCAACAGTGCTCTCTCCTGGAAGTCTGTTTGGTTTTCTTAACTTGTGTAATGTTTGTCTCTGTTGTTACACTGTCAGCTTCCTAAGGGCAGGGCTGTGTGTGTTTTATCCACTGTGTATACAAGCAGTACAGCCTCAGTTATTTACTGAATGCGTGAGTGAATGAATGAATGAATGTATGTGTTCATCATGTGCGAGGCACTGCACTAAAATTTCACATACACTAACTTTAATCCTCAAAACAATCTTCTGAGGGACATAGTGTTGTGCCTGTTTTAAAGATGAGAAAATTAGTCTCCCCCAAATTATAGTTTCTCCATGACCTCATAGCTAATAAGTGGCAAAGCCAGAATTTGAGCCCATTTTATGAACTAACTATAAACCCTTGTTCCTTGGCTACCTGAAGTTAAATGGCTCTAGTATTTTTGTTTAGTTTTCTATATGGAATTAGCAAAAGACATTAACTGTTCATGAGAACTGTGGTAACTTTTGGTTTTACATTATCTGCGTTACTTTAGTGACATTTACAATAGGATACTGTAGCCCATTTTGAATCATAAAAGAAATTAGAAGGGTAGAATCAGAATTTCGGAGAGATCAAAGCCTCTTGTTTTATAGGTGAAACAGACTAAAACAATGAGGTAACTTGTTCAAGGTCACATTCTGGTAACTAGGAGCTAGGTCCCCGAATTCCTGGTCTGCAGTAACATGTTACAGAATCTCCTTTCAGTTTAGGATAGTTTCCAAGCACATGTTTTTATATTCTTGTTCTCCTTTGGACTCTAGCCCAGACGGCTGTATTCTCTTGCCATGCTAAATAGTAAAGTGGTTACTGTAGACCAGGCTGACTAGATAAAGTTATAGGTAGGGGTAGTGCAGACACATTGTACCTGCCTTTGGTACTTTAGCTTTTCTATTTCATGACCTCATTTCACCATCTTATTGACTCTGTAAATAAAACCAACAGTTAAATCTCTGTCTTCCAGATGAGAAAGGGGCCAGGTGAGAGTAAATGTGTTGCCTAAGAATGTCACAGAACATTCAAGGATGAAGCAGGAACTAGAACCCGAGCCTCTAGAGCAGGGGTCAGCAAACTGGCCAGCACCACCTGATTTTGTAAATAAAGTTTTATTGGAACACAAACACACCCTTTCATTTACTACATATTATCTATGGCTGTTATCCCATTATAACAGCAAAGGTTAGCAGTTACGACAGACCTGATGGACCACAAAGCCTAAATATATATTGGGTTGTCGGGAAAGTCATGACGTATTTTTTTCTGTTTTTCGTTGCAAAAATGCATCATGACTTTTCTGACAGCCCAATACTATCTGGCCGTTTACAAAACACATTTGCTGACTCCCCCTCTAGGCTCTGGTGCTGTGGCCCTAGTTCTTTCGACCTAGGAGAGTGCTGCTTGCTTTTCAAGCTGTTCTTTCCACAATTTCTGTTTAACAGGAGGGTATCTATGTCTACGGGGATCTTTTTTCATTGAATAGATGTTCTAAACCTGTCAACCTGCAAAAGATTCATGCCAGTTTTTCTGGGCAAAAGATACAAAACTTCAAAGTCAAAAATTACTGCTCCCGAATATGTCATGAGGCCATGAAAAACAGACACCAGTCAACTTAATGGTAACTGAGAGCAAATGCACAATGGCTGCAGTTTATAACCTTGTTCTCGGGAGCTTTTCAGCCAATCATATATTCCGCATTAGGCGCTTGGACCCTGAGAATAGAGTGTGATTGAAGCTCAGTGATACGCAAAGTGTGATCCCCGCGCCAGCAACACCCAATGGCCTGGGAAGTTGGTGATTCTCATTCCCAGGTCCTACCCTAGACCTGCTAGATCTGTAATCCTGAGGACCGGGCCTGACACGAGTGTTTGCACAAGACCTGGTTCCCCGGAACCTTGACAGCCATAATGGGAACCCCGAATCTGCATTTTGAGCACTTTCCCAGATGGTGCTGGTGCTGGCGGTCTGGAGAGCACACTTTGAGAACCACTGCTCTAGATACTAGAACAAGAAATCAGGACATAGGCCAGGAAAATAGTTTTTTGAGTTCATAAGATCCTGTGGAGAATCTTGATTCTCAAGAGCTTAAAATAGCCATTTAAAGAAACTAGAGGATAGATACGGCGAAGGCTTCTGTGTGTCCTTCCAGAATCCTTTTCCGCTCCCTCTCTCCCTAGAGAGAGCCATTATCGTGAGTTTGGTGTGCATCGCATGCACACTTGGTTTTTATAATTTTACTACTGCGTACATCTGTAAATAAATACACTTACATTTTCAAACTTGACATAACTGATCTGGTAAACAATTCTCAACTTTTTTTTCTAGAAATTGTTTCTGAATGCTATACATGTAAAGATCCCACGTAACTAGCTTATTAATTTGACCTGCTATGTAAATAAGCCATAATTTATTAATCCATTTTCCTTTTAGTAGGCATTGGATTGTTGATTTTTTACTATTTCAAAGAGTACTGCAGTAAATATTCTTGTACATGCCCTCCATATAGACAGTTGACCCTGAACAACGCAGGGGTTGGTGTGCCGACCCCCCTCGCAGTCTGGAATCCATATGTAACTTTTGACTCCCCAGAAACTTTAGTTGTCCCTTGGTATCCACGCGGGACTGCTTCTAGGACCCCCGCGGATACCCAAATCCAAGAATGCTCAAGTCCCCTATAGAAAATGGTGTGCATCAGTGCATAGTTGGCTCTCCCCATTTGTGGACTCCCAGCTGCGGATTGAAAACAGTACAGGAATTGAAAAAAAATCTGCAATAAGGGGACCCACACAGCTCAGCCCTGTGTTGTTCAAGGGTCAACTGTACTGTGTGAAAAGAAATGTCTCGGGGGTATGTGCTGGAGGGTAGAAGAGGCAAAAGGTGGAGTGAAGGTATCTCCCGCTTTACTATAGAGATACTGTTCATTAGTGTTCTGCTCATGGTTTTACCTGTTTACCCACGGTCTGTGAGGGATGAGAGCCCCATTTTTCTACATTCTCATCAAAACTTAGCATTTTCAGATGCTTTAATTTTTGCCAGTCAGATCTCTGTAAAATAAATGCCTTCTAGTTTTTAAATTTATAACTCCCAGAGTTCTAGGAACTTGAGCTAGTTTTCATGTTTCCTGACATTTCAGGTTTCTTCTGGGCATTACTTGTGATACCCTTTACCCATTTTCTATTTTATTTGCCTTTTTACATGAATTTGTAGATGTTCTTTATGTAATCGTTGCTAATACTGGATGAGTGCTGTATCTCAGTCGATAGCTAGTCTTTTAGCTTTGTGTATGGGTAAGAAAATCTCTGCTCTTGGGTCATAAGGATCCTTTCATCTGAAGTGTCAAAGCTTTCCTTTGTATATTTAAGTCTTTAATATACCTGGAATTTACTTTTGTGCTAGGTATGAGGTAGAGAACTAATTTGATTTTCTTTTTCCATGTTCATAACTAGTCTCATCACTGCCCTTTTGTCATTGATTTATAATGAGCCCACCTCTGTGATATACCACAGCAAGACTTCTGTGTGCGTGGGTCCGTTTCTGTCTCTGTAATCTGTTCTGCTGGCCTATTTGTCTCCCCCCATGTCAGACCCAGTGTCTTAATTAATGTCACTTTATACAAATACTTTATATCTGATAAGATATATCTTGTGACCTTTTTCAAAACTTTTCTGACTGTTCTTGATGATTTGCTCATCAAGATAAATTATACGATTGGCTTATCAAATTCCATAAAAAAGCCCATCTTAGAGTTTGGATTGGCATTACATTTTATTTTTAGATTACTTTGGAGAGAATTGAATTGACTGTCTTTCAATTCATGAACATGGTATATTTCCTTTATTCAGGTCTTTCACAATAGCCTTTCAGTAATGTTTCATAAATTTTCCCAAAAGATATTGGGCATCTTTTCTTAGATTTAGATTTATTCCTAGGTATGTTACCTTGCTTTCATGAATAGTAGTAGTATTCTAATTGGCTATGCCTGTCATACCTTCAGAGCATACCGTGCCCCCATGAACAGGTTATTATCTCCTTTTCCACCAGATGGCAGTAAAATACATTGAGATTTCCTTACTAAGAATCTTATTTTTTCCACTGAATTTGAAATGATTTGTTTCAAAGGTATTCTGAAATATTACTAAGTTTTCTCCCTTTGTTCCATATAGGAGGATAAAAAGAAGCGAGATCGGGACCGTGTGGAGAATGAGGCAGAAAAAGACCTCCAGTGCCCAGCCCCTGTAAGATTAGACTTGCCTCCTGAGAAGCCTCTCGCAAGCTCTTTAGCCAAACAAGAAGGTTCGAATCACTGAATTAACTGTCCTGAATGAAGAGGCTGAAATTATTTGAAGAGTCAAAGCTGGGGAAATTGGGTTTTTAACTTTTAAGTTTAAAAACTGATTTTTCTCGCTCTATAAGAACTTTAAATTAGCTTCAATTTTGAATTGATATTCTCATACTTTAACATATTGTAAGATAAATGGAATTCTGCATGAGATACTTAAGGATAGGAAGGCGATAAGTCATGGAAAGAAAATAGGCTAAACAGTACCCTCTAGACTCTTCGTTTTTAAAACACTCGTTTCCTTTCTTCTTTGCTATAGAAGTAGAACAGACACCCCTTCAAGAAGCTTTGAATCAACTGATGAGACAATTGCAGAGGTAAATGTTTTTTCCAGTATTTTTATAACATGGAAATTGAAATAAGAAATATAAGATCCAACCACTTCTCTATTTTTTATTATTTAAAGCCACATTTTGTGGCCTAAATCCAAATGTACTTGATTTTAAAGTGGATGGTAAATATTTTGCCTGGCAAAAAAGTACTTCAAGAGGCTGACGTTTAGATGTTCTTGTTTGGTTTGTTTTAACTGGCAACTTGAAGAGTGTTACATAACACTCTTTTAATGGCAAATTTCTTTTTAGTTTAAAGTAACTCCTGGTGTTAAAGCTTTAAACCAGGAATAAACAATAGAGATATTTCCACTTTGCTGATAGATAAAAATACCTTTTGTATATTTATGCAGTGCTTATCATGCTGTGAAAATTAAACAATTATTAAGTCTGGGAGAAGAAACAAAATACTATAAATAGGACTCGTGACCTTAAATTCAGAAGTTTGTTCTAAAAATTTCAATATCTAGATTAAACCAATGTTAAGTTCTTAAAAGGGAAAAGAATAACTCAGCCTTTATTAAAACATTTATTTTGATACCTGTTTTTACTCAGAATTTGAATTTTCAGCTAAAAGCCATTTACGTTCTTTGCAGAGGATTTGAGGACCTGGGGCATGCATTCTACTAGTGAACTTTCTCCTCCTGTCTTGTGCTTAATGTCAACTCCAGAGCACATCATAAATAATTTTTTAAGATAAACCTTCTAGTGCTGTCTGCATTAAGCACCTATTTATCTTCGCAGTGAAAATCAGAAGTTAGTGGCCTCTCCCTTTTTGGCTTTACAGAGTAGTTGAGAAAATTACATCTCAAGTCTTTACATGTGAATAAATAATTAATTACTTCTCCCAAAGGAGTGGACAGGTAAGTATTGAATATTCCCACTCAATTAAAATGGTAGAGTGTTCTGGCTGTCGTTTTATTTCTGGTAACATAAGACCGAAACGTAGGTTAAAGATGTCACCTTAAAAGAAATGTATTTGAGAGGATCTCTTCGTTCAAGGATGTCCACACTGCCCTGATCATTTTGGGAATTATAATAGAACCCAGAGCCACATTTTTTTTGAATAGCCATAGTGATTGGGTGATTCTTCATCTTTGAGGCTCAATGCTAATGCCGATAAAGAATATAATTGATCAAGTTTAGTAATACTATTCTTGGTCAAACCAAGTGGGAGTGTATATTAAAATGACTAATTTTAGGGGGTGTGGATAATTTGCTCTGAAGAGGTCCTCCAGAGACGATTCGTGTTGTTCGTCACAGTTACTGCTGTGGATAGCACACATTTAGCTGGATAAGTCCCAGACTGGATAGTTTCGCTTATTCTCATTTTTTAGTCTCACTGTTCAGGCATCCTGCTGGGAAGAACAAAGGCAGATTCACATAGACCTGAATTCAGATTCCAACTCTGTCTTTTATCAGACCTAGAACCAATGACTTGACTTCTGAGCCTTAGTGCCCTCATCTCTAAGTGAGGGTACCACCACTTTGATGGCTTTTCTCAGGATTAGCTATAAAATAAAGCCCACTGGGCCTAACACATGGTGAATATATTTTAAAAGTTGCTGCTATTATTATTTTTAAGCCATTTTTTATTGTTGTGATTATTTGGAGTAAGAAAACTTTGGTATGCCAAATATCCAGAGGAAGAAATCAGTCTGATGACCTAATTATATAGAACAGTGGTTCTTAACCTTGTCGGTACTGGAAATACCAATGTCAAATGCACAAATGCCGGTACCAATACTCAACCCTAGAAATACGATTGCCTGGACCCACCCTCCCCCAAGAGATTCCGGTGTTGTGGGTCTAGGGTAAGCCTCCCAATTATTCAGTAGTTATTAGTCTTTAAAATTATTCCTTCAATTTTCAGTGAAAAACATGTTAGCATACTACAAATTCTTTCTACATCTAAAGGGCTTCCTCTGCTGCTCTTAGGCCAGTAGATTTGTTTGTAGTAGAAATAAAATTGCCTTTTTCATATCTTCACAGAAAAGACCCAAGTGCTTTCTTTTCATTTCCTGTGACTGATTTTATTGCTCCTGGCTACTCCATGATCATTAAACACCCAATGGATTTTAGTACCATGAAAGAAAAGATCAAGAACAATGACTACCAGTCCATAGAAGAACTAAAGGTAACTGTAGTTATTTATGTTGTGATTGGACAAATAAGAGCTGTGATACAAAGTAACATCTTTTTTATTCATTTGAGAGTCAGACTCTTGGATCCTGTATATACAGACTCTGGGTAGAAATCTGCAGGTGTGGTTTTCAGAATCTTTCTAATCAAGCTTTTGTTTTGCAAAGAATTAAGTTTATTTTAATATCTAAAATCTTTGTGTTTTTATGTCTTAGAAAACATTTTTGAGCTTAGAGGCACAAAACCAGATGAAATATGTCATCTGCCATCTTTTATTATTTTGAGGGTTTTAGTAAAATTTTTAATCTCATCTATTCTAATATATATTTTCTCAACCTTTAAAATGAAAAGATAGTTGATTTTTAATTTCAAATCAATACAGGTAAAATTGATATTTTAATGAAATTGAATTAACGTAGTTTTCTTTTTCTAGACATCCAAGGTATGTGTATCTTCTAAAATAGAGAATAAATTGGCTTGTCCAGAAATAATCAACAGAAGTTTAATTACATTTTCTAGTTTAATGAAAGCCAATTGCTCCATGAGTTCACTTTGGCTGTATTTGTTGAGCCTATTTCTTTCAACTTGAAGAAGAAGGAAATTAAAAACTTACAAGAACCTACAAGTCACCAAGACGGTGTAGATGCCTAACGTTATAAGTCAAAGTTTTTTCCATTTTTAAATAATCTTGTTATATATTGATTTCAGTGGTGACACTTTTCATTTTAATCTTCCACAGAAAAGAAACCATGTGTTTTTTAAATTTGCTGTGTACCAAACACCACAAACTTAACTGGTTTAGATAATATTTATTTTACCTTTATTTTTTTCGGCATGAACGTTGTAGTGTTCACCTGACCTAAGGACTGACCCTAATCAGTTACAAAAAGACAGTAAGACAGTAAACATTATCTTTACTTGGTCTATTATTTTATTTATTTATTTTTTAAAGATTTTTATTGGGGAATTGGGGGATGGGAACAGTGCTGGGGAATTAGGGGAAGGGGAACAAACAAGTTGCTGTCGTTTTTTTTTTTGTTGTTCTTCAGTCTAGTTGTGGAGGACGTGGCTCCACTAGCCCAAGTTGGCACCATCATTGCGCTCTTCCCGGGCGAGACACATCAGTCGCCGGCTTCTGGACGGCCGTTCACGCTGGCTGCGGCCACATACGGTAGCCCATGGCAACCCACTGCCACAGGGGCTGCAGCCTACGCCGTCGCCAGCGACTCACAGCAGCCCAGCTCCAGGTTGAGCTGTTGTTCAGCATCTTAGCTGTGGAGGGCAGCGTCACTGGCCCTCATATGTGGGATCTGAACCAGGGCCCTCTGGCATCCCAAGCCAGTGCTTAACCAACGCGCCACTCGGCCGGCCCTATTATTTTTTTTTTAACCATTTTTTTTTAACCACATGTCAGTCAGCTAAGATTTATGAATAACAACAGCGTTTAATTCTATCTTTACTATCAATTTGAACATATAGATAATATTCTGCTTACTCTGAAAAACCTGAATTACATTCTCATGTATTCAGAGAAATGGAAACTTTTCATCTGGTAAAAATTAAGCCAGAACTGTTTATTTCAGCATATTTCTGAACTTATTATTGCTTAATGGAAAAAATTAACTTTTGTTTTTTTTCTTTTTGTGAACAGTTTTCCTCTGATCTTTCTCTTATGATGACAGGAGAGAGTAGAAGCGTGACCCATAAGTGTTTTTGAGCAAATGGTTCAGGTTTATCATAATTGAAATGAACAAGTATTTTTAACTCTTTTGCGTTTTCTACATTTCTACATTTTTTCAATAAGCCGAAGTACTATTTATTAGCTTATCCAGCTCATTAGGCTGTTGAAGTTTTTTAATTACATGGAAAGTATGCAAGAGATCATTCCACTTTCAGATAACCGAGTGCTATTACACAGAAGTTGAGTAAAGCCTGCCTAGCACATGACAGATCAGGTCCGTGGGACCCACAGATGGCCGCGATAGACCAGTCCCGTGATGAGCAAAGTAACCCCGCCCTCTCTTGCCAGTTACAGGCCCAGTCAGCATTTAGTACGAGCAACAGTCATACTGTGTCTCCTCTCACTTGCCTGCCCTTCCCCCAAATACATTAATAATTCTTAATGAAATGGAAGCTTTTCAGAATATCTGTACCAAGGGTACTTAACCTGGAGCCCTTCGGGTAGCCATGGACGAGCCCAAAGGGGGACCAGGAACCTGCTAAAATTAAATGATAGATTTTGTGTTCAGCGGTGCGTGTGGGTGTGCGCTCGCGTAATGAGCGGGTCCGTAGCTTTCTTCACAACCTTAGAAATCCAAGACTTAGCAGAATCCTAACTGATGAGAGACTTGGCCAGAGCCTAGGGATCCTCATGTACTTCATCCACTGTAAATCTAACACCCAATTTATGGTGACCCTTGAATCAGTCTGCTCATGTGCTTTTACATAATGCTCAGTCTGCCTATTGTCAGCCCATGTAAGCATTCTCAGCTGTCATCACTAAGTACTAAATAGTGGGGTTTGAGTGTTTTGATTTGGAGGAGTTTCTTTGGGGGATGGATTCTTTTTATTTGGTTTTTATCATTTTAACTTAGTAAGGCCTTGGTATAATCACTCTCACATTTATACAATGTAAAAGTTACTTAACCATGAAAATATGCAGTGGGATCGCATTCTCCAGCACGTGTGTACTTTGAAATTTAAACCAAAAGTATAGTTTTGATAATTTGGCTACTCCATTTACATCTTTTAACTCTGAGGCTATATGGTTTATTTCACACTGGCATGATTTCTTAACATTCTACAAATTGTTTAGCTTATGATAGCACCCAAACACATAAAACAGAATTAGTATAAAGGTTTAACAATTTTGCTCAATTAATTTGGATTTGATAGAAATACTGTGATAATTTAGCACTATTCCCAGTTTTCAGTCAAGATCTGAAATAAAATATTTAATTCATAAATGGAAACTTAAGATGTGTGTTTTAAAATGAAGAATAATATTTTTAATTATTGGGTCTTTGGAAAAGTCATGACGCATGTTTGCAACAGATGGCACTAGTTCATTTTTGGAAGTATTAGAGTCATTCGCATCTATATTATTGCTATGTCATTTGACAGCTGACAGTTCCAGCTTCATTCTAAAAAAAAATTGAGCAATTTGATTTTGAGATTTTACAAGTTGAATATGGAAGACCAAACTGTGCATTTTTGCCATATTTACTGTTTTACTTCCATAAATGGAAGAACACGTGTCAAGCTTGTGAAAAGTTGCATAAAGTTTACGGTGACAATACTCTACAAGAACATCAGTGCCAATGATGGTTCACGAAATTCCGTGCTGGTGAGTTTGATCTCAATGACGCTCCTCCTTCAGGGAGGCCCACCAAGGTTAATGACTACACAATAAAGGCATTGATTGAGTCAAACCCACATTACATGACACAAGAGATTGCAGAAACATTGAACATCCATCATTCAAGCATTCATGACCACCTGAAGAAGCTGGGATATGTAAGCAAGCTTGATACTTGGATTCCGCATAAACTCAAAGAAGTTCATTAGACGGCGTGTATAAACATCTGTGACATGCTGACCAAACGTGAGGCAAACGATCCTTTTTTGTGGATTGTTGACAACAATGTGGTGCGCAAACGGTCTTGGTCCTGATGTGATGATTCGCCTCAAACAACATCGAAAGCAGACATTCATCAGAGAAAGGTTATGCTCTCAGTGTGGTGGGATTTTGAAGGTGTCATGTTTTTCGAGCTCTTACCAAGGAACCAAACAATCAATTCGAATATGTACTGTCGGCAGTTGGACAGTTTGAACGAATCCATCATCCAGAAACGTCCAGAGCTTGTTAATTGTAAAGGAGTTGTGTTCCATCGCGACAACGGGAGACCACACACAAGTTTGATCACCCGTCAAAAATTATTGGAGCTTGGATGGGATGTGTTGCCACACCCACCATACTCCCTGACCTTGGGCCATCAGACTTCCACTTGTTTCGCTCTCTTCAAAACGCCTTGCTTGGTGTAACATTCAATTCAGGTGAGGCTGTGAATCAGCACCTTGTTCAGTTTTTCGCAAATAAAGACAGGTCCTTCTATGAACAAGGAATTATCAAGCTCACTGAAAGATGGCAAAAGGTTACCGAACAAAACAGGCAATATATCATTGATTGATCTTTGTTCTTTATATCAATAAATGACCTTGAAAAACAGACAAAATACGTCATGACTTTTCTGAAGACACTATAGATGAACTACTCAGTTAAGATTATTCTGTTATATATAAGATAGAATGTTCTCCTAATTTCTTTGTGTGCAGTAAGATTATACTGAAGAAACCAATTTAAAAATTTCACCTTGGTATCTAAAGTTTATGTATCATTATAAAATGTTCAAGAATTTGGAAAAGAATGTAGTAGGATATTTAAATAGGCAGTATTTGTTTTGTGAGGCTTAAAACTTAATAAATTGCTATTAATGTTATTTAATAAACAGCGAAAGATTAGAGGGTAGTTTTTTTGTTGTTTATTTTTTGAGGACCTATATGATTTCAGATCAGGACAGGAGAGTAGTTTGTTTTGTTTTAATACTGGTTTTTTCTCCCCCCTCTTAATATTCTCTCTGCAGGATAACTTCAAACTTATGTGCACTAATGCTATGATTTACAACAAACCAGAGACCATTTATTATAAAGCTGCAAAGAAGCTGTTGCACTCAGGGATGAAAATTCTTAGTCAGGTAAAGAAAATTCTGTGTCATAAATAGTAATTATGAAATTGACATCCTTTTCTTGGTCACAGTGATACAGACCCAATTCAGTACTGGTTTTATTGTATAGGCAGATCATATTAAAGTTGAAATACTAAATGAAAGAAAATTTGAATGTAGAGAAGAAAAAGCAGGAAGATTCTCATTTGGAATTGATACAAATAAATACTGGCATTCAATTGTAATTATTTATTTAGAGTCTCTTGAATTGATACTCACCAGATAGACTTATATTTGCTGTAAAAGAAACATCAACCTGAATTCAGAATAAGATTGATTCGATGAATTATGCAATCTTTTGGAAGGAAAGCTCTCTGTTACCCTTTGTAGGGATGGAATCTAATGTTCCAGGGAAGCATAAGAACTTCTAGTAAAAAGAAACAAGAGATACAAATGAGCGATACCTGGGAACTGTCTCAAAGTCACCTCCCCACGGGAGCAGGCTCTCCTTTGAAGGACAAGCACAAGTGCGTAGTAAGACGTGAGGTGGGAGAAACATGTGCAGAGGCACAGTCACATCATCAAGCTGCACGAGAGCTTAAACATGATAACTTACTCCAGAGAGCTACTGTCGGCAGTGACAGAAAATTATGTGTGCCATCTCAGAGCGGGACTGATGACAGACTTTGAAGGGTAAATTGAGGTGATTATGGTGCATCTCCTGGGAGAAAAGGAGAGCTCCTGGGATAAGTCACATCTTTGGAGGTTTTACTTACAGCTCTGAGTAGGATAGGAGATTAGCTCAGACAGTCCTGGCACCTTAGCACAGCAGGAAGTAGAAGACTGAGTACTAGTATTAGCTATTTCCCACTAACCGGACCCCAGGCAAGACACTAACCGCTCGGGCCGCAGTGGCCTCATCTACTCAATAGAGGAGGATGTTAATCTGTGATCGCCGAGGTAACTGCTAGCAGTAATGTGCTGATTCTAGATAAAACTCAGCGAAGGCAGGAGACTGAAAAAGCAGAGTGAGATAGAGGGATTTTGCAAAGAAGAAATGAGTGGGTATAAGACATAGGAAGAAGGAGAAAGAAATCAGAATGAAGAGCTTGAGCTCAGACTCGGGGGAGTTACAGGATAGTAGGAATGAGTCACGTGTAGATACACATATGGTTTTCCAGTTTTTATGCTCTCATCTGTATCAGTTTTACAGAATTGCCCTGGTTTGCAGATGTCTGAGTGTGTGTGTGCTTGTCTCTGAAAGATTCCTGGATCCACTTAACTGGAGAAAGAAAAACATTTGGATTGACAATTATTCTTGCACTTCTAATATTTAGACAGCATCACTTCCCACCCTTTCCTAAAGACTTGGGAAACGGTGATGTAAGCCAGTTAGCCATATTTGGCAAAATTGCAGAGGAGAGGGGAATGTAAAATGTTTACCCCACTCTGGCCAGAAAGACCCAGAATACAGAACCAAGATACGTTCCAGGTTTAAAAACCTGCGGATGCTTTTTATTATATTTGAAGGAAAAGTGCTTCCGGCAAATGCAACCTTTAGTCACTCCAAAATATGTGCAGTGAATTTCTAGGAGAAAGTTTAATTTGCAGAGATAACATATCTAAAGTAAACTTACCAACTTCGATTTACCTCCAGTGTCTCTTCTTTAAATACTGCAGTTGCTGTAAAGTGCACAAGATTCCAGTATCTCTTGAATTTTACTACAGGCGGGTTGGTGGGGAGCACAGAAAATAGGCTTTCTTTTCCACTTTTCTCTCTGTTATCTTCCTTTTTTTTCAGATCTCTTCCTGTTGAGGAGCCCTACCCATCCTGTGTTATAGCTTCCTGTTGGCTGTTCCTCCACCTAGATGGGAGGGATCCTTACAACAGTGATTTTTAAATGTTTAAATTTAGACCTTCTGAGTTAATTCTAATAACAGTGCTCCCAAGAGAGCCCAGCACACCCTTCCATGAATGGCGTCTTTTAAAAGATAACTATTTTTGAATGTTCACTGTAAAGATTATAGAGCAGCCTTTCGTTATTTTTTTCAGTTACACACAAATAATGATATTAATAGACATGTTATTTTTATAAAGAATGGGCATATGTAGAATAACTTGACCTCCTAAGGAAATACTAGAATGCTGCACTATGACACAAAATAGTTCAAACAGCACTGTTCATAGCACAGTGGCTTTGGAGTCCGATTGATCAAGGCTCAAGTCCTGACTCTGCCACTGACATGCTGTGTGACCTTAGGCAGGCCACGGAATCTTCTTGGCCTTTTTATGGTCACGTAAAGTGGGATAATAATAGTACTTACTTCAAGGAATTACGCCCGGTGTGTGAGAAGCAATCAAGTGTTTGCCATTATTAATGGCAAAGAATCAAGCCCTTTAGGTCATTTAACATTGTAAAATTGAGGATTGATAAACAGTATGCTGATTTGGAGGCGTTTTAATTCCCAAAAACGAAAAGCCATTGCTTTCAAAGTAAAATTAATTAAACTCAACTTTTCCCCATTACTTGTGTCAAAATTTAGAAAATTTCTCTAATTGAATTACTTAAATTTTGTGCATATTAAAAAAAATAACAAAATGTTTTTAACGTGGGTTCTACTTTATAAAATTCTAGAGTGGAAATAAAAAGATTACTGAGAACTTTGTGATCTAAGCCCATTCATCTAACCAACATTTCTTGTGTAGCTACAATGTGCCAACCTCGGTTTCAGGCACTAGAGAGAGAGAGAGAGATGAGTAGAAAATGACTTAAGTGACATTCACAAGGGGAAACACAAATGGTCAATAAACAATTACAGAAATAATCACACTAATATTTTTTAAGTATGTATTAAAATAAGACATGTTTTTAAAAATCAGATTGGCAATATTTTTTTAAAGGGTACTGTTCATTTGACAGGGATTCAGAGAAACATTCAAATACTAATACATGTACATAAATTGATATAACTTTTCTGGAAGGCAGTTTGGCAGTAAATATCAAAAGCCTTAAAAATACTCATTCTGTTTGACCTAGTGTTTCCATTTCTAGGACTTTATCCTAAAGAGAGAGATTTATTTACAATAGTGTTCATGAGATTTGTATTTGTAATTAGTGGAAACTTGGAAATAATCTAAATGTCAAGTAGTAGATTATTATTTAAATCATGATACATACATAGAATAAAATACTATACAGTTACTAAAACCATTTTAAAGAACATTTAATGATATGGGGGGAATACTTGTAATTTATTAAGTGGAAAAAATGCTCGTAACCAAATACTCAGTATAATTCCAATTTGCTAATACGTATGCTTAGAAAAATGCTGGGATGAAAAACCTATTAACACTGTTCCTCTCTAGAAAATAACAGGATTTTTATTTTCTCCTCTGCTCATATCTTTGTCTATAATAAAATATATTACTTCAGTAGTTTTAGGATTCCTTTAAAGTTCAGTAAAAATAACAGGGTACAGTGTTCTTGAGGCCTCACCTCACAGCCTGCACCACTAAGACCACAGAGGGATGGAAAGGCCTCGTCTGAGCTACTGGTTCTGTGACCTCAGGTGAGGCACTCGGCATTTCTGAGCTACGCTGTTCTCATCTGAATGACCGCTGATCCTTTCTAGTTCCTAGTTCCTATTATTCCACAAAAGCCCTAAGGAGACAGCACTCACTCCTATTCTATCCAGTGACAAGGCTGAGTTCAAAGGCAGAGTAGTCACTTGGAACACATCTGCCTCCAGAAACCTCAAGCCCTTAACCACATCGAAAACCCCACAGCATATCGGCGCAGTAGCAAATGAAGCACATGTTTCACAAAATAGAAGCAAGATTCTTTGGTTAGAGGAGCCATTATGTGCTCTGAGAAAGAAGCTATGCTCACAACCTTTTTCTCCCGGAGGCATGTTGTTTTCACACACATAAATGCCAAAGCCGTCAGTGCTCCTGGGATACCAGAATACAAGGGGATTCCATGGGTGCACATGCTCCGATGATAATTCTTAAATATTTCAAAAGATAAGCCGTCCTGTTAAATACAACATTTTAACATGCTATTAAGCCAAATTTTACTTTTTAAATTTAGTACTGCAAAGCATACTTAATCTTTATTCGTACTTTCTCTTCTGTGGACTTTTCGATGATGCAATCAAGTTACAAAGCATTCTCTCAGACTGGAAATTAAGTCATCTGAATTGAAGGAATCTACTTTATTGTCCTCATTCCTACATATAATACTCTTGATGTAATTACATTTAACTGTTTTTCTTCCCTAGTTAATGACAGGATAAGTGCAAGCTCTTGGGAGGAAAAAAAAATGCATTACTTTAAAAATTAATGCCAAACATACTAAGAATGTTCTTGAATATTTTTAGGAGAGAATCCAGAGCCTCAAGCAGAGCATAGACTTCATGGCAGACTTGCAGAAAAGTCGAAAGCAGAAAGATAGGACAGACACGACGCCGAGTGGAGGGGAGGGCGGCTGCTGGCCAGCTGAAAGGGAAGACTCTGGTGATGCCGAAACACAGCCCTTCCGGAGTCCCCAGAAGGACAACAGAAAGTAAAGAGTCTCTGGAATATTAAAGCTATCCTTGTCAGGCTCGTAAGGGGGGAATACTCATTCAGTGCCTGCCTTCGGAAGGTCAAGTCCTGGTCAGCCCGTGGTGGTTTTGGGCATGAAAGTCCATTTCGGTGACGTGCTACCCGCTTCTCATACAAAGCATCCTGTGGAATTGAATTGTCCAAACACAGTTCCGAAACAGTTCTGAATGTGTTTTTTTATAGAAGTATTTTTAAAACCAATAACTTATCTTTAGGGACTCATATTGTCAGTGAGTTTGTTTAAACAGAACTATTTGGGTGGGGAAAATGTGTGCGCGTTACCATATTCCGTAAAGGGACTGGGACAGTAATTACGCCTGAGCATTAGTTAAAGCTCCTTCCTAAACGGATGGGCTGTCACTGAGCTGTGTGTGTTTTCCACCAGACGTCAGCTGGTAGGAGCAGTAGCTTAGCACTGGCCCTACTGGGCAGCAGCCGGCATGGCTGGACGGTCCTGCCCGAGCCACTCACCACTGGCTATCCGCACCTCACTGTCAGCTCGGGAAGAGGGCTCTGGGGAGCAGTTGGGGATTTCTGTTGTCACAATGCGAAGACAGTAAACTTGTGACACGTTTTTGTTCTAAGATTTACACATTTTAAATGTGTGTTTATTTTAAATTTAAATTTTAAAAATCAGACTTAAAATTGCATGTTCCTCTCCCTTCAAAATATATTTGTGGTAGGATTCATTTTTGTCGATGTACTGACAAAAATGTTTAAGGTAAATGACACCGATGGGAAGGGAGGGACATACCCGCCGTGTTGGGTCTGCCTTGCTCTTTGGGCATTTTCCAGGGCCCTCGCCAGGCACCGAGGAGCAGAGTTTAGGTGGTGACAGCAGTGCCTGTGTCGACTTCTTGTATTCATATTTGGAATCCATTTTAATGTTTCATCATATTTTTGTTTTCCACAATGTATGTTTTCAGGAAAGACAAAGATATGCCTGAAGATAAATTTAAGAGCAGCAACTTAGAAAGAGAGCAGGAGCAGCTTGACCGCCTCGTGAAGGAATCTGGAGGAAAACTGACCAGGCGACTTGTTAACAGTCAGGTGACTGGGCTTTGCCTGTCTTTTCACCAGCTAATGAGGCGGGTTGGAGGGATATTTAGTTTTTAAATTGCTTGTGTACTTTTAACCCGGATCTGCCATAGAGCTCTGCAATACAGCCCTCACAGAAGAAAAATAAATAATGTTTATAAATGACATGATTAATCTTATGCTCTATTACTGGATTTTTTTTTAGTGATGTTTCTGTGTTCTAAAATTGGAAAATGAACCACATACTTTATTTTAAGCTTAACAGGAAAACATTTATACTCTGGCCTTTTGAAAGCATATTGTTCAGCACGTTGGTTTTAAAACCAAATGGATTAATAATGGCTTTGGGCAGGCCACTCCCCTTTCCTGGTCTTCAGCGTCCTCCTTTATAAACAGAGTGGGCAGGACTAGACGGCCTTAGGACCCACACAACTCTTTAAAATTCTGAGATTTTCCTAACCATTTTTTAGCCCATCAGGCACCTGTGCGATTGGAGACAGGTATGAAAGTCAGTATCTGAGTGTAGTGATGATAGCCACCTCTAGTATTAGTTTAATTAAACTAAGGCTTTCTAGTGTGAGGGTGTGTGCCAGAGTATACATATGACTTGTATTCATCTTTTGTTACCCGTATACATTGAGTATTTACAATTTTAATACAGTTTTTTCCTTTCTTAAAACGTGTATTTTTTTGGCACCCTCTGTATATCTGTATCACACTAGACAGCCTTACTTTAGTTTAATCAGTGGTACATAGTAAAACCGCTTATGCCATGTGAATACTTTGGGTCATTGCAGTGTGAGTTTGAAAGAAGAAAACCAGATGGAACGACAACGCTGGGGCTTCTCCATCCTGTGGATCCTGTTGTAGGAGGTAGGTTCACAGAATTAGACTGAGCATAAACTTGCCGTTTGGCATAGAGTGACACCCTGGGTCAACATTTTAAAACAACAAGCCTGAGTATCGATAAATCCAGTTGTATCATTATCTACATAGGACATGGCTAGACACAGCGTATTTCATGGTAATAGCTGGCTTAGCTTTTCTTAGCCTAAAGAAGGCACTATATACATCAAGTTTTCTTTAAAATACAAAGGCCCTGGAGTCTCAGACCTGCCATTAACAAAGCCAAAAAACTGGGCAGTAATTTCTAGCCCTGGTTTTAAGAGACTGGCATATGCACTCAGTTTTTTCTAGAGGTACCTCAAACCCTCAGATTACGACATATAAACTGAACTGACATTTCTATTTCAGAGAACAGAATGAATACGTATGTCATGTGATGCCTTCCTAGTGACGGAATAATATATACCTAATGACATTATGTCTTTCACTGTGGTTGGCACAGTCAGGAATCACTATTGTGGAACTTCAGTCATATTTTTATGCACCTTAAGATCTGACCCTGTCTCTGTACCACCAGGGGTCTGGTCTCTGCCCTGGGTCGGGTTTCCTGGGCTGCCAGCCCTGTGGCGTTGGCAGATGTGGTCACAGCCAGTGTGGCTCCTGACACTTATAGGAGCCCCCCCTCCCCAGGAGGCCAGTTGACTGGGTTAAGGTGGAGGCAGCCCCTGTTTACTTGTCAGTTCCATCTTCCGGTGGAGGTGCCAGCACCCCATCAGGACGCCAGACTCCAGACTGCTTACTGGGAAGGACAGATCTGACTCAGATGTGGGAAGTTTCTCACAAGTGCCTTATTTTATTGCCTGATCCCCTGAGGCAGTAGCCTGTACTCCATGGTGATCGTGGCACAAAAACCAGGACTCTTAGAAAGTCAGAAGAGGAAGCACCGTTTCTGCTGGCTGTTGATAGAGATGCTAGAGAGACCCTGTTTCCTCCTGCCATCATCCTGCTCAGTTCCTCCGCTGATTTCAGATTCCAGTGTTGTCCATCATAGGGGTTTGTTCCTGGTTCTCAGAGATCACATCTTTAAAGGCTGCTCTTCCCCATGCTGAAAGTATGCCCCTCATAGATGATCATTTATCCTAAAAATGTTATGAGTTCCTTACTCAATCTTTTACTGACTAACCTTTCCTACTGGTTTACTTCCATCATAACATTAAAAGGCCAAATTTTAAATTTTTTTTTTTAAGCAAAATGTAACATTATAAAGAATTCCACGAAGCAGTAGAATGTCATGAAAAGGACCAGGCCTGGGTCATGGCTACATGCCGGCCTTGCTAAGCTCCGATTTTCTTACGCTAAAAAGTATACTAAGGGCTAGCCTGCATTGTCCCCAGTCCTGGAGGCGGCATGAAGCCCTGGTGCGTGCCAGCGCCCTGCAGACTCGCTGGGCTCATTGCCGGAGCCTCCTCCACTGTCTGCTCTTCGTTGCAGAGCCCGGCTACTGCCCGGTGAGACTGGGAATGACCACGGGGAGGCTGCAGTCCGGAGTGAATACTCTGCAGGGGTTCAAAGAAGATAAAAGGAACAAAGTAACTCCAGGTAAGGCGCCCTGAGTCCTGTGTTTCCCCTCTTTCAAGAAGGGAGCAGAAATGTGATTACCATTTATTGCTTTTTTCACTAACTCTCTTGGTGTTATTTTTGCAACTTTAATTAGCTATTTTGTTAACTTTAAAAGAAACTGAAAAATTAGGTATTAGTATTCAAAATGAGTTCCATTCTTTTTTTTCCTCACTCTCCCCTTTGTTGTGACTTCAAGTATCTGGGGGAAATGTCTACCTTAAATTTGTATACCAAATTTAATTTTAATTTAAATTTACTGAAGTAGTAAAGTTAGAAGGGAATAATGTTTACTAAAACAAAAACAAAAAAATGATCAACATACAAGTTGAAGAATAGTATTGTGGTGTTTCATTTTTATCAACAGTGTTATACTTGAATTATGGACCCTACAGTTCTTATGCACCACATTATGACTCCACATTTGCAAATATCAGCAAGGATGATTCTGATTTAATCTATTCAACCTATGGGGAGGACTCTGATCTTCCAAGTGATTTCAGGTGAGTCACCAGCTCATCCTTACTCTGCATGCCGAAGTTTTCTAAAATAGTGACATATGTGTGCTCATCCAAAGCATGTGGTCCAAACTTGAGGTGTGGCTTTGAGGGCCTTAGTGCCTGTGCAAGTCATACAGTCCCCTTAGGGAGAGAGTTAAAGGGGAGGGACTCAGCCCTGGACCCCCCATCACAGAGGGCTTACTTTTCTCTGACCGTTTCCCCAGAAGCATTGCATTTCACGGTAGTCTTGATACTGTTTCATTCTCTCGTGATGACAGATTTATTCCTGATAAATATGTAAATACAGTGTTGTACCTAGATTAGAAAGTTTTACATCATGGTGTATAGATTAAGGGCAGCTAATGAAAACAGTTGGCTCTGACAGGAAGATGAAGCCAGAAGATTTATGTGGAAATGACTTTCCCAACACTTTCTCTTTCAGCATCCATGAGTTTTTAGCTACATGCCAAGATTATCCATATGTTATGGCAGATAGTTTACTGGATGTTTTAACAAAAGGAGGGCATTCTAGAGCCCTGCAAGAGCTGGAGACGGTAAGAATGCTTCTAAAGAAACAGGGTAATTTATTATTGGCTCTCGAGTATTAGTCATTCAGTGTTATGAAACCATGGGATAAACCACTATGACAGCTGGACTCCATTCCCCTGAAAAGACAGCCCAGCCCGGGTGGAGACCATGGGCGGAGGACAATGAACGGAAACAGTGTGGGTACCAGGATCTGTGAGGGCCAGAGGATTGTCATTATCTCCTAATCTTGCGACTGTAGGAATCAGAAATGGGGCTCACAGCTCCGAGGTCAGCTGGTGCTATGTATCCTAACAACAAAGGGAGGGCTTGCTCACTGGCTTGGAACTGAGTTGACTAAAACGTTAGAGAATGTCCTTTTCCTTATTATGCAGTAATAACACAGTGGTGGGGCCTCAAGTGAAAACAGAAAAGGCTTCCTTGTTGCTTCTTTTTATTAACACTTGTGAATGATCTCCAGTTCCATTGGGCATAGTGGATAATCTGGAATAATTTAGAGACTTGGCTCAAAGATCAGAACCAGAAAATGTTCCTTCTGATGTAGAGGAGAGCTCATTCCAGAAGGTCCTTGTCGCCATTGTTAGAGGAGCCCTGTACCTCTTGGGGGCCTAACTTCCTGGTGGCTGTGACTGTAGTTGTCCTGCTGGCCTCTGCCCTCCTGTACCTGTGGCAGCTGGTCCTTGGGTGACCTACCTGCAGAGCTGACACATGACCTAGAACATTCAACTTGACATCAGTTCAAACTAGTTTTACTAACTGTTCTCATCAGTTAATCTGAATTAAGTCTTGAACTAAAATTGGATAGCTTTCATTTGGTTGAAATGGCAATATATTTCAAATTTATGGTTTCTTGGCCTTTTGATCCAGCAGTTCTCAGAATTTATCCTAGAAATAAAGGAAGTTATGTATAAGAATACATTGTTTATAATGTTTAAAAATTGGGAATTGGTTAAATAAATCATAATACAACCTTTCAAAAGTAATGTTATTGATTTTTGTGCATGACACATTTGTCTATATGCGAGGATGCCAAAACAAATGTATACACATGACTTGTATTTATCTTTCGGTTTATATGGAGTATTACAATTTTAATACAGTTTTTTCCTTTCTTAAACTGTATATACATTTTTTGGGCACTCCCGTATATGCATTATCTCTGAAGGCTGGGATTGTGGGAAGCTTTCTCATTCCCTGGCATTTGAGTGTTTTACAGTAATCCTCTGCTATCTGAGAATATTGCCTCCTTTAACACGGGGTACTCCCGAGTCCCACCTAAACAAGGTATAGCTTTTGAGGAGGCATCGAATTACCATCTTGAAGTCACTAGTAGTAGGTACTCTTGACTCACAAGATACTCTCAAAATGCTAGTTGTTAATAGGTAATTCAGTTTGGGTTTAAAAATTATATTCTAGTAATCCATATTCTTAGCCTCTTCTCTTGCCATAATTTCTATCCTTTAATAAGTTGTTTTTCTGTATCCTTACAGTTATCACCTGAAGATGAAGGAGAGGCTAGGACGCTCGACACAGCAAAAGAACTAGAGGTGACTATATTTTATTCTTTTAAAAAAATATTTAAATGGAGAATAAACTAAAGACCTAAATGATGCAGCTTTGTTCTGAAAGAAAAATGTTCGAGTATCTCCTGAGATGAAAGAGCTGTGTTTGCATGGGAGGAGTGGAGTAATAGCTTGTGCGGCAGACAGGCCACCAAGGGAGCAAAATCTAGTGTGAATGGACACATCCCAGGAAGGCAGGTGGAGCGCCAACTGCCTTGATGGCTGAGGAGGCCCTCGCAAGGGTGCTGGTGAGCCGGGTCAGGAAGGACGGATGGGCTTCTCCCAGCAGGTAGGCCAGGCTTCTGACGTCAGCAGGACTGCCTGAGTAATGGCCTCAATAGAAGTGACAGGGCCGGGCACGCGTGCGGAGCGCTCCAAAAGTGGGTGACCACTGGTACCAGGGAGAGGATGAAAGGGGGTGAGGCTGCATGGAGGGACCAAATGATGCAGAGTCTTACATGCAGTGCTAAGAAACGGAGATTTTCACCCAAGATAGGATACTGTGATAAGATTTGTAGGAGAGAGAGGGGCTGGAGGGAAGGGACAGTGCAGAGCTATGGGGCTTGTCTAAGAGGAAAAAAAGCTAGCATAACAATACAGGAAGGCAGAGAAATACAACAAAACTGAAGCTGACAGGACCTGGTGCGCAAGGTCGCTAATGGCGTTAGCAGCGCATAGCTCATCCAGGAAAGGAGCACGCCGTTGGCGGAAAAGAAGTGACATTTGGCGTCAGGTGTGGTGAATGTGGTTCAGGACATTGGGGGTCGGGTACTCCAGGGCCTGGGCTGTGGGTCTGTGGACCTGGACGCTGGGGAAAGGTGGAACCTCGTAGTTGTGAAAGGGAACAAGACTGTCCGGGGGGACACTGTAGACTCGGAGAAGACCGCTGGGTGAGGTTGGAAACCTCGGGAGTGACACGCAGGAAAGAGCTCAGTGTCAGGTGCTGCAGAAAAGCCCGGGAAGAGGAGACGCGCAAGTGCCAATTGTAACCCTAGAGCAACTTCAGCAAAAAGGGGGGGACAGAAGGTAGAGGCTTGAGTGAACGGACATGGAAGATCTGAGACTGAAGTCCTAAGTGAGGAGAAAGAACACTGAAGGTGTGAGATCAGGAAAGCTAGGTGCAGGGGGAGGTGGTGGTCACCAAACCGGGTCGTTTCCAAGGAAACAGGAGCCAAGCAAGGTCATGTTCTTGGTGAGGGGCAGGAGTGGAAGAGATGTTGAGAATGGGAAAGGAGTGAAGCCTGAGGGGGCTGCGAGGCCCCGCTGAAGCATTAGGCCACCCCTGCGCCGGTGCGGTCTCCTCCGTCACACGCTTTATTTAGTCCCTGTGGCGGCGGAGCAGTCGGGGGTTCGGGTTGTTTGAGCTTGGAGTGCAATACCGAAGTGCACATGGAGCCATTAACTTGTTATCTGGGTTCATCTGTTCCCGAAAGCAGCACTGAGGTTATGGAAACTCGGAATGTTGTGATTCCCAGAACACAACACCCTTTTTCAGACTTTGTTTCTCCCATGTGATCCTGACAGCCTGGCTTTGGGGCCTGGAGGAGACTCAGGAAGTAGCTGATGTACAAGATCTGTTGGAACGCAAGCGACTGGCCGGGGGGCTGACATTGCCTCTGAGACTCAGAAATAGGAGACATGGTCACAGTCAGCCAGAGCTCTTCAGAGCGTAGGCAGTCACGGGGCTGTCGTCGCTTATCTTTAGGGTCATTGCCGTGTGAAACTGATGCTGCTGATTGTGGAAGACAGAGAACGGAGAAGCGTGGCTCTGCGGACGTTTTCACCAGGAATTGGGAATGGCATTTTCAAAGTGTTCTGGGAAGACATTTCTAATAAGCATTAAAATTATAACTCCAAAGTAAATAGGTAGAATGACCTGGCCTGCAAAACACAAGCCCTCTTCCCGATTTCTCATTCTAGCACTGTTGGGGCTTAGCAAGCTCAAATAGTTCTTTTTTTAAGCAGATTACAGAAATAGAGCCAGCGAGGCAGTCCGACTCCAGCCAGCAGGACAGGCTCACAGCACTGGAAGCTGTCGCAAACTTTGGCGCTCCGGCTGAAATTTTTGACTCTGAAGGTAAGTGTCTCCAGGTTTGACGGGAGGACTACACGACACAGCTGTCAAAACTGAATGTCACATCCAGATTAATGCAGCCGTTCCGTTTAGCACAGGAAAATGGTGGCCGGCCAGGCTGCAGGGAGTAGTCAGGCACGTCCATGGCGTTGATTTCATTTGAGGGAGTTACTCCTTTGAGGAGAGACTGACCAATAAGTAACAAAGCCTCAGGGCAGAGGACTCAGTTTACCACTTAACCTCAGACACCAGTTGTGTCCTGTTTTCTTGAGTGTGTTCTTTGTCTTAATCAGAAGCGGAAGTGTTCCAGAGGAAACTGGACGAGACCACCAGATTGCTCCGGGAGCTCCAGGAGGCCCAGAACGAGCGGCTGAGCACCAGACCGCCCCCCAACATGATCTGCTTGTTGGGTCCCTCGTACAGAGAGATGCATCTCGGTACGTTGCACCTCCGGTCAGAGGAGAGCCGGGATGCTTACAGGCACCTGAGCAGTGACACCGCCACACAGCACGCTGACGTGAATGCCGTGGACAGCTTGTTGTTTGCATTTATATATTCTTTGACTTTCTAAATTATCTAAAGGAACTACATTTCAACACCTAGAACTGCTTTTTTTTTTTTTTTTTCCTTCTAGCTGAACAAGTGACCAGTAATCTTAAAGAGCTTGCACAGCAGGTAACTCCAGGAGACATTGTAAGCATGTATGGAGTTCGAAAAGCAATGGGGATTTCAATCCCCTCCCCCATCATCGAAAACAACTTGGTGGATTTAACAGAAGGTACGTGCCCTCTGTCTCCTGGAGGGTGGCAAGCTACTCTCCCTTCAAGTAACATCTGAAAGGTTTAGCCTCTGCAAGTTGTTAGTGTATAAACTACTTTGTTTTCTTTCCATTTTGTCAAAGAATTAAAGTTTCACACATTTGCAAAAAAAAACAAAAAACGGTGATAACCTAATAATTAACCTAGTCTTTATTTAACCTTGTACGTGTTAAAGATGGACCATCCAGTAATTTTTCTGGATGCTACCTTCACCTTCACATTCCTTTTTTCATTAAAAAGGTAAAATGCTAAATGAAGTGGTATTTTTTTCTTTCAGATTTTGAAGACCCTAAAAAGATTGATGTGGCTGAGTGTGGACCTGAGGGGATTTGAAGCTAACTGGTATTGAATTATAGATTATGTATATATTTTTTTCATTTTTAACTTGGAAATTCTTTTCAGAAGATATTAAATATTTGTAAATTGTGGTTTTCATTAAACTTTGGAACAATGACCTTTAGTGTTCTAGAAACTGGACTTCTGTTAGATAATAAAGCTGATAGGAGCTAGATTGTGCATATCAGCTAAGTTACCCTTGGCCTTTCCCCCGGCTGAAATTGAAGATAAAGGGATAGAAAAGCCCAGAAAACAAAACTGCCTTTTTCATGGACATCCATCAAGGAAGCAAGTCCTCCGAATAATTGAAATCTCTCATTTTTCCACTTTTGCCACACTCCCTGTTAAAGAGATGATAACCAAATAGTTTCTACCTTACCAGATTTCATCGTGATGATTCATTAAAAAAGTGGCCCTTGTGAGGCGGGACCATGGCTTTGACCTGGTGCCATAGGTCAGAGCGTTAGAACTGGAGTAGATAGACTCGGGGCAGAGTCTTTTCAGAACTGTGATAATGCTGCTACTTCCTCGTGATTCAGATATCAGTCAGGCAGTAATCAATGGTTAAACTTCAGATCTACCATGAATAAGTTCCTGAAGACCAAGAAGATATTTACAGTCAAAACACTTTAAAGTCAAAAAACATTCAGGTTTTCCAGACTGGTAATTTAATGTATTAAAGAAAGTAGAACATTGGTACCTTATGAAGACGAAGTACAACATTTTGAAACAAACGCTACAGGTTTATAAATATTCAGGATGCAGGGGAAGCCCTTGTAATGTCACTGTACTTTGACCTCTTATATACACACGGGGACGGTGGTTAATGGCCTTTTCAGCTAGGAAGCTTTCTTAATAAGTAAACCAGAAAACTTCAGGTGTGATTTTCACTAGAGTCAGGGAGGCCGCCTTAGAAACTTTTAAGCAAGTCCTTGACCCATAGAGACGGTCAGTGTTAGGATACCTGTCCTTTAAAACATAATGTCCATAAAACAAAACGATACCTGTGAAGAAATGACTTGGTCATTAGAAAATAGATTTATAAAAAAATAATTGCAAATGATTTTTATGGTCAGTTACACACTACAATCTGAACATCAAAAACGAAAACCTTACAGTATTCTTAACTTGAACACAGTGCTTTATTGGAAATAAATAAAAACACATGAATGGTAACCAATGATTTTTTAAACTCCTGACTGGGATTCTGTTGCTGGAAGAAAAAGGTACTTGAATGCCACAGGGGTAGAGCCTGCCCAACTCAGAGGGGCAGCACGCTGTGTGTCTACATTGTGTTAGCGACAGGACAGACGCCTGTGCAACTCGCCACGAGAGCCCCTCTGAGCAGCCCTTTGTATGAAAAGTTGGTGTGAAAAAGGTGGCTTAAGTAAGGCTTATTTCCCTTACCAGCGTTTCTGCCATAAAACTCCTTCATACAGCACGTTCTTATCATTTATTCCTACCATTCCAGCCGCATGCAATGCCTCAGAGCTGCCAGTAGCCCACCTGGCACCTCTGCAAATTAGAATAAGCCCACAAGACGGCGACACAGACGGACAGCAGGCTCTGGGGACAGTCCCCTCCCCGCCCCTGGCTGCACACAGCACTCAGTATCTCACCCCAGGCCCACCTGGGTGCTGATCACCCTGTCTGATTTCAGGGGTCCCTGGGGGACTTCAACTAAGAATCCCTGCCATCTGGCTACAGTCAGTCTGCTGTGTTAGCAGCCGCCGGGTGCTCTGGTTATGACGCAGAGAAGTCAGTTCAGGAAAAGGCGTGGGCAGTTTGCTCATTTCTCACCTGGGACACAGGCCGGCTTTGGATTCTTGCAGAGCTGAAGCTGCAGGACAGCAGCTCACAAGTGGCACTTCGCACGTGATGTGTTCGGTTCAGACCCAGGACATCTCGGCATCCGTGAGAGGGTGGGCTTCCCAGGCAGAGACCTCTGCACGTGCTCATGCTGAGCACACCCTCCTAGTCTGAAGCTCTTCAAAGTGAGCTGTGAGGACTAGAAAAGGATAGAGGGGCCACAGCTTGTCCGAGTTCCCTCCACACAGGCTCCAGGCCTTCCTTTCCAGCCTAACAGTGAGATGTAGCTGAAGACGGCGGGGGAGAGCTCAGAAGTGCATGAGCAGTCAGGCTGAGAGGTCGGGTGTGCCTTATTTTCTAGGCTTTTTGCTTACTGGGCCTAACCTCAAAATGCTGGCATCAAATGATGGGTCTGACTGAAAGCCAAGAGCTGCTCAGAAAGCTATGCCGCTCAGAGCTCCGTCCCCACAGCTGGGATGATCCCAGAAGCTGACACTGGACAGTAGTCCTACTTACGTGCCAGTGGTTAAAAAGGCAGCAGATACACTGGGTGCAAAAGAGTTGTCTTCCTGTAAGAAGTCATTAAAAAAGATAAAAGCTCCATTAATGTATCCACTTAAACATGCCACAGAGGACAAGAAGTAACAAGTATCCACTGTGGTTTTTTTCTCCCTACTGTTTGAAACACCCTTTCCAGCTCTATTTACCAAAACGCCTGTGAGAAATAAATGTAGGCTCCCGGAGCTGCTGCTCTGGGCAAAAGGCATCCCCAGCCCAGCCCAGCCCAGCCAGCTTGTCTTAGTCCTCCTGTACCTCAAAAGGACAGGTCGCGCTTGTGCCATGAGGGAGGGGGGCGGTCAGTTACGCGCCAAGACCTGCACAGCACGGGCGGGGGGAGGGGTTGGCGAGGATCTGAAACACTGGGGAGCCTTTTCCTGCTGTGCTGGACACTGTGAGGCCAGCTCCAGCAGTGCGAGGTAAGGCTCCGTGGTCACCTCGAGCTGGGGTCTGGAGCACGTGTCCAAGAAACCGAGTCCGAGGAGGAAGCCACACGCAGCCATCTGTCAGGAGGTGGTGACGGCCAGGCCCTTGGAATGCCTCCGTGACGCGAAGGGCTGCCCTCCGCTGGCTGGCTTTAGGGCAGGCAGGCCGCTTCCTGCACGTCCATCCTGCCAGCGTCCCTCAGTTCAGCCCCAGCCCTTGAAACTTGGCAGTGTCTGTACAGACAAAGTAAGTCCTCAGCTCGCCTTTGCCCTTGACGTTGATCAGTCCCCGGCATTCGCAGGAATAGCCTAGTCCCTGGAGGATGGTGCACGTCTCTTCAGTCACCTGAAAAGGAGAGGAGACCTGAGTCTTTGGAAGCAGGAAGAAAACCTGTGTGGGCAGGACGGGTGCCAATCAGCCTGCGAGCACCGTGGCATCTGGTCTCCGTCAGGAACTTGATGGCTGGCCTCACAGCTGAGGGATGCCCAGGCCCCCTCACCCCTGGGAAGTCCTTTCCTCCTTGGTCACCGTCCCCGATGGGTCGTACCTGGATTTTCCCGAGTTCTCCAGTGCTCTCCATGCGGCTGGCGACGTTGACGGTGTTGCCCCAGATGTCATACTGAGGCTTCCGTGCCCCGATCACTCCCGCGATCACGGGCCCGTGGTTTATGCCTGAGGACGATGTGTGTCAGGTTGTAGGGGCAAAGCCTGGGGCTTCGGCCCTTAGGGGAGGCCACGGAATCTACCCCCAGCCGCACAACTAAAGGGAAGGCTGGAAGGTGCTTCCTGAGGCAGGGGCGGAGGTCGGAGGTCACACTCCGGGTGTGAGCAGGGTTTTCCCCGGAGCTCTTTTCAGACTAATATTCCAGGAGAAATCTGGATGGCCTTCACGCTTTTCTAGTATCTGCTAACCTCTTAAAGAATAAATGGGCTTTGGGCACCGGCCCGTTAGCGAACAGCCACTACTCAGGTTAATACTGCTTTGTATCTTAAGGTCACCTATTCACAGCTGGTGGTCTGGGGGGGTCTCCATTTTCTGTAGTGAGGTGTTCTCGTTAGAACCTCCAAAGGTAACCATCCACGGTATGCAGGGAAGGAATAATTACCCAGTTACTGGGGTGGTGAGGTCAGAGAGGGGTGCCTGGGGCTTCTCGTGTAGGTGACAACGCACACCAGACAGAGCTGGGAGTGGGCTCGCCAGGAGGCGGGCTGCAGTCCCCGCCTGCCCGCCCCGGGCCTCACCGACTCGGAGCCGGAACGAGTTGAACGAGTGCCTGTTGATGCCGTCCAGCTTGTGCATGAGCGCGATGCTGAACTCCACGGTGGTGCCGATGTGGGCGTGCTGCCGCTCCAGGTCCTGCGGGACAGGCGCTGTCAGGGCCACGGAGGGCACACCCGTCTTCACGCCCTGACTGGCTGTCAGAGCACCCTGACCTGGCGCACCTCACGCCCGAGAGCCACGGGGAGGGGCTGGCAGGGGGCAGGGATGTGCCAGAGGCCTGCCCCCCAGGCTGAGCCATGTGCTCCTTTGCCCGTCCCTCATAGGACAGGCTGTGGGAAGTGCCCCCTTTACGGTGACAGGCCTGGGGACGGTGTTGAATTTCGTCTCATGAGGGGATGGGACACGCGGCCACACGTCGGCCGAGTACCTGGTTCTCATGCCCTGAGGGGACGCTGAGCCCTGCGGCTGCCATGTAGGTGCTGCCAATGGTCTTGATCTTCTCCACACTGCTGAACTTGGGCTTCAGCAGCAGCTGCAGGGGGGAGGCAGGAGGCAGGGCTGGGCAACACCGCCACCGCCAGGCCTGTGCCCGGCTGAGCGGGGCTGGGGTTCCCTCCCAGCCCCACGCCTATGCAGATGTCAGCTCACACCTGAGCACAGGTGGGCTCGCGCCCTCTCCTCCTGTGGTCTCCATCCTCCCTGACCTCCCGTCTCTTCCTGTCCCTTCCATTCTGGTCTCGTTCTTGCTAAGGAGCAAAGGCGCACAGCTCTACAGCCGCGTCCACAGGGATGCCCGCTCCAGCTCCCAGTGGACTCCGAAACCAGTTGGTAGCATGGGCTTAGCTGGAAATCAGACTGTGCTACAAGAACCTAGATCTGACCTTAGCCACCTGCCCGTCACAGAGCAGACAAAATACTTGAATAAAACAATGAAAAGGGCAAATCTGCACCCGCTGTGATTTGTGTAATGTGTGTCCCCTCCGAGGGAGCGTGGCTCGTGTGTTCACTGGGGCAGGACGACGCGCCCCACCTGGACGGGAGGCCCTACCTCATCAAAGTCGGCGATGATCTCATTCAACAGGCGCAGGCACTCCAGCCCTTCCTTGTTGACATCACACTCCGTGTAGAACACTTTGAAGTCCGGCACGGATGCAAACATGACGCAGACGCAGTCATAGGACTGATGGTACCAGTCCTGGATTGGGAGCAGGGAAGAAATGGGACCTTATGGCCACCTACCCAGCCGGCCTCTCGAGGGGACGGGAGGGAGGCTGGGGAGGCCACCCCTCATGCTGCCAGAGCCGCTGGGTGGCGGGGGCAGCAGTGGTCCTCAGCCCGGCTGTTTAAAGACAGGAGGTTCTAAATCAGTTGGTTGGGGAGAGTCACACTCGGGCCGGTTTTTGCTCTTAAATACCCTGAGTCCGCACTGCGGGGGCTGAGAACCCCTGGGGCGGAAGATGACAATCGGGAGACAGGTTCTACACCGACGGGCCTGTTCCCTTACGTAACAGCACAGGTGGGAACACACCCATTTGTCCAGATAACAAATAACCTGACATGCATTTGATCCTCGCAGCAATCCTGCCAGTGCTGTGGGCCCCACTGTACACAGGTCAAACCCAAGGCCCAGGGGCGTGAGGAATCTGGTCTACCCAGGTGTGTGACGCCAAAGCCTCTGTCCCCCCAGTGTGACACCACACACTCTCGGGGCGCAAGGGGAGGCCAAGACCCACGGAGAGCATTCTGAGAACCACTCTGCAGGGCGGCCGGCATCCGTGCCTTCCGTCTCCTCCCTCCAGGGCAGCTGAGCCCCTTCCTGCACCTCGTTTAACTTGTCGCCAATGAAGTGGGCGGCCACATGGGCGGGCAGCACGTTCTCCAGAAGAAGGCGGTTCACATTCTCCATGGTTTCAAACTCCTCGTGTTCCTTCTTGAACTTATTCTTCCACAAACAATCCAAGCGGCAGTAATAGTCGATCTGCACACAGCGGGGACATCAGTGTCCTGGCCGCCGTGAGCGAGGGCGCAGTGGCTGGGGCCCACTTGAGACCCTGCCTCCCAGCACCGCCCACCCTTGTGCTCCTGGCAAACACCTCCCACGCCGCAGCCTTAAAATCCCAGTCAGCCGCGGCTCGCGGCTCTCAAGTGACCCACAGATTAAATGTCACTTGGGTCCTGGTTAGGCGACGCAGGGACAGTCTGCTGTCTCCTGCGCGGCTCCAAAGCGGAGGCAGCCCCAGCCCCACCCCGCTCCCCGTCCCAGTGGAAGAGAACAGGGTGAGCTCCGTGGGGCAGCGTAGGCCTTCCTGGGCTCACCTGTCTGGACAGCATGATGAGGGTGATGTAAAACAGAACCAGGTAGAAACCGACCATCGTCTTCAGGTCCCACCATGAGCAGACTGGGGGGCTGCTGGATGTGCAGGGGGAGGACGGGGTCATTCTAGCTCCCATCCAGCCCCCAGCCCCCAAGAGCAGGAGGCGGCGTGGGGCCCAGACTCTCCGTGCCGCCCAGGGAAGACCCTCCGAGACGGAGGCCATCTCTGCCCTCAGCGCTTCCGTTCTCGTGGTGGAGGCAGTGAACAACACAACTTGAGGTTGTAAAGAAAAGGGGTATAGGGTAGAGGCTGGCTGGGAGGCCTGGCTGAACTCACACCTGGGTGACAAGGACTCGCCACGCAAAGTCTGAAGGAAGGGCACCCAGGCAGGAGAGGGGACAGCAGGGCCCCGGGTCAACAGTCGGGACGGGCAGTGGGGTTGGGGTCCTGGCAGCGAGTGACGTGGGCCTCACCTAAGGGTGCTGTTGGTCTTGGTGGAGTGGCCACAGCAGTGCCAGTGCGGGCACAGGAGCGTGTTAAAGAGTGCCAGGTAGGCCACCAGGGCCACGGTCAACAGCACGACTTTCAACTCCAGGCTCATCCGCAGGAAGACGGAGCAAGCGATGAAGGCCAGCATACAGCTGCAGGTGTAATACTGGGGAGGCGGGGCATGTGGGTCACCCCCAAGATCCACCTCCCAGACCGGCGCTCACCAAAGGGAGGGCCGCCTGTGGCACTCGGGGACCCCGTAAAAAGCCAGCGTGTCCTCAGCACCACGTGAGCTCTGGCTTTCCTCACCTCCCTTCCTAACAACGAGCAGACTACGGAATCTCAAACTTCCTCCTCCTGCTGTGTTTACTGCAACTGTACTTCCACATGTGGAATAAATAAAACGCAGGGGCTACGCAGGTGTGACAAAGGTCAGGGTGGCAGTGGGCACAGCCTGAACAGCCGCCCTGCCTCGAGCTGTGCCCTGAACTCGCCCTTCCCCAAGTGCATGTCCGCCCACCTTAGCCTCCTGCTCCGGGCCCTGCTGTGGCTCCCTGTCGCCCCAGAAGGAAGGCCAAGCCCTGCCCCCCTAGCACTCACGCTCTACCCTGAGCTGGGTCAAACCCACGGCTGGTTTCACCCCCCAATTCCCCTACCCCCTGTCCCCACATCGTAACTGAAGAAACCTACTGCTCCCACTGCACGCCTCCGCTTTTCTCACTGTTCCCCCTCCTGTAACCTTCCTGCCCCTTAAGGAACAGCTCAGACTTCACCGCTGGCCCCTGAAGCCCCACGGCCCTCATCCTGGTGTCGGGCAGGGCGCTCCAGGCACGGCTTCTGGTGTCAGCCTGCCCGGGGCCCGGTCCTGGCTCCACCACCTAGGAGGCCAACGCGTCAGCCTCTCTGAGCCCCCTTCCCCGTCAACATACAGGAGCTCGTGAGGGACCCGCCATAGGGCTAGTGGTCGGGCGGCACCCACTACACGGGGTGCAGCCACCCTCATGCCTGGGGCCCACTGTGCCAATATCCAGACCCCTGTGTTCTCCAGGACCGCAGCCCAACGGAGTCCCATGTGGGCCCTGCTTTCTCCATCTCCCCCGGGAGAGGCTGTACTCAGCCCTCCCACCCCCAGGCCTCAGAATCGGTGGTGTTGAATGTCCCGAGCTGCGCAGGGGCCACTCACCGGGAGGAGCTCACACGCAATCTTCTCCCTGCTGCTCACAGCCCTCCGGTGTGTCTCGTTCCCCGGAGGCTCCGCCACACCTGGCAGAGGAAACAGCGGCTACGGAGGAAAGAGGTCCCCGTGCGGGGTGGTCAGGGGCCTGGACTCCAGGACCTGCCAGGGCCGAGCGGGTTGGGGGGTCTGGAGGGGCCAGAAGGCTGGGCCTGAGGCCTCCATGAGCATCACCAGCCAGGCCCAGCTCTGAGACGGCCCAGAGCCACTGCGCCGGACTTGCCACAGCAGCCACCAGCTTCATAGCGGGGAGGGGGCTGGGGGAGAAGGGTGTGAAAGAAAGACTCATGACCACCACCCCAGAACACGAGGCTGACTCGGGGCAGGGCGGGGGAGAAGCTGGGAGCGGCATTGCCAAGCCCCCTTCTCCGCAGGTGACTGAGGGGGGTGGTCACAGGGTCTAGCGAGTCCGGGCATGGAGGCGGGCTGAGGCCCTGGCTCTAATGCAGGAGCTGGCAGGACGCGCAAGGACAAGCGCCGCCCGCAGCCTCGAGCGTGCGCGCACGGCCCGGGGGGCAGAGGCTCAAGTGTCCGGCCAGCTTGTGCCTAGGACGGCTCATCCCTCAAGAAACCAAGTCTCAGACAGGGTGGGACAGGGCCTCCTCAGGGGGCCGGGAAGGAAGAATGGGGTGTCAAGGACACTGGTGGTTCAAGACATCTCATCCTATGGGTCTGGCCAGGTAAGCTCCCTGGGAGCCCCCAAGCCCTCACTTGGAAAATGAATGGTGAGGGGCTCCCAGGACCACCGAGGGGCTCTGGAGAAGGTGACACCAGATGTAGCTTCTAGGCAACAAGATGATAGGAGTCTAGAACCTGGAGGTCCCCAAGGTAAAAGGCTGGCTCCCTCCAGCAGGCAGTGTGCACAGCATGGGGTCCTTGCAGGGCCGGCCCCCCCACAGCGCAGCCCAGAACCCACCAGGTTGACCACGGCGATGCTGAGCAGGCTGCCGACAGTCAGGATGGCCAGGGACAGCCGCAGCAGGGGGTGCGTCTCCACCCGCTCAGAGATGGTGCGGAGTGTCGCCCAGGCCGGGCAGCACCTCTGTGGAATCACAGAATCCAGTCGCCCAGCTCCAGCCCCAGACAAGAGCGGAGCCTGCCGGAGGCCTTGATGGGGGGAGCCCCCAGCCCAAGGGCCCCGCAGACAGGTTTCTTGAGGGAGTTTGCGGGTGCTGTGCCCAGAGCTCAGAACATGACAGTGCACAGACAAAAGGGACACCCCACCCTTGGGGCCGTGCACAGCCACAGCCACCTGGGGGCCGCTAGCAAGCCTGGGAAAGTGGGGGTCTCAGGAGAAGCCTCAGGAGCACTCAGTGACTGTCCTCGAGGCAGGAGGGGCAGGGCTCGGCAGGGTGGGTCCCTGGGGCAGGGGCGCAGGGGTTTGTGCCTCCACGGCCCCGACACCCAGTGTGCAGCCCCCACACACTCACCAAGAACTGATCAGCAAAGCACAATCCTAGCACCAGCCCCAGCACACACGCCACGAGCCCAAAGGACAACCCCAGAGCCGCCGTCCTAGACAGAAGGGAAAAACCTAAGTTCTGGGAGATCACCTGCTCAGGCCTCAGCCACCGGCGGCTCTCCCACCCCTCCCAGCACCCCAATTCTCAGGCACACGGTCACCTTCTGCCCCCCACCTCCGAAACTGCTTTTCTACACTCAGCACCGGGGGGAGGAGAGTCTTTGAAAACCATGGTCCAGCTGCCCACCAACACATGAGGCCTGGCCGAAGCATGAGGCCCACGGTCAACATCATGTCCCCCTTTTTGGGCCTAGTAAATATTTAAGAAGTAGATTACGCAGCTCTGAGACTCAGGGCTGGCCCTGAAGTGCCATATAAACGTGTCCTTGCTTCGTCTGTATTAAGTGCATCTTAAACCACGATCCTAGTGGACCCTATGGCCGAACACCCTTCCAGAACACCAAGTAGCTGACTTCCCTCCCCGCCGGGACCTCACCCCCGTCCCTGCCCCCACCGCAGGGCCCCTGAGGCCCCTGTGCATCCCAGTGGCTCCTGGTGTACTGGCAGGCACCCTGGATCAGGCAGCACCCCGAGCCTCAACTTCCCACAGCTACCAGGGAGAGGGCGGCAGCGCTAAGTCCTCTCTTTAGGAGTCGTTCTTCTAGGACTCCAGATACCTCAGGTGAGGCTCGCAGACAGAAACGCCTGCAGGGCCATGCAGATAACAGGGACTGCGAAGGTGAGAGGTGTCTGGGAGTGGAGAGGTCTGGTAACTCCAGGCGTGGGGCCTGCAACGCGGGGCCCAATTTCGGGGACTCCGAGGTCTCACGCACGCGACTGAACTCTGAACAGCGGGCGCCTCCCGGGCTGACTCCAGTGCACGTGCCCACCCTGCCGCCCCCGACTGACCTGGGCATCAGCAGGACATGGACGAGCAGGATGCAGAGGAAGACGAGGCTGGCACAGGCGAAGTAGTGGCGGGCCCGGGGGATGGGCGCCAGGCGGTACTGGGGTGACAGGGACCATGAGGGGGGGCCAGGACAGCCCAGGCCTCTGCCCCCCACCCGCCTGTAGGGCCATTCGCTCCGCCCACCCTGGCTCAAGTTAATGACCTTTTTCAAAAAGAAAATCTCATGCCTATCCTAGAGTTCTAGTTACATCATCATGAACCAATAACTCATTTGTTCCCATTTTGCTCTTTTATGTTTCAAGTATGTACCTTCCCCTCCCCCATCCCGCTCAGGTCTCCTACTTCATTGCCAAGGTCCCAAAAGGCCCGGGGCCCAAGTCCACAGACGGAAACCAAATCTGAGTTCTGGGGTTGCTGCAACTGGGGCTGGTGGTGGGTCTGTCCTCACCCCAGACTGAGGAGTAAGGCCGGCCTGAGCCCCGAGCTGTCAGGTGGGGGTCCCCGTGCTGCCCGGCCCTCCACACTGGGCACCATCGCATGCTCTGGGCTTACAAGGGCTCCTGGTGCGAATGAGCAAACCAAGCTCAAAGATCCCGGCAGCCTGCCCGGGTCCCACAGCACATGGAAGGCCCGGTGGGTAGGTTTCCTGGTGACTGCATCTGCCTCCAGGCTGCAAGCTCCCCACCCAGTGAACCCTGAACTCAGGGAGCGGAGCCCCAGCTAGAGGAGCCCTCCCTCGCCCCAGTCCTGAAGGCCAAGGTGGAAGAGAGGTCACAACACCAGAGCGTTGTAGGCTTGGCCACCCTCTCAGGCCACCCCTAAGGCCAAGACACCCCGAAACCTCAGAGAGTGTGAGATGGGTGACAGCGCCAGACTGCCTGTCACGTGAGGGTTACATGACACAATGTGTGTGCCTAGGATGTTGCCCGAAGCCAGCAGAGACTCAGTAAATAAGGAAATGGTCAATACTGGTACAAAAGCACATTGCTATAGCAGCCAGGCAGGTCCCTTCAACACTGATACTAAGTTAGGGGCTTTTTCCTAATTATAAGGCTCGTGTCAGCCTGGGGCTGCCCTGGCCCCTATCAGCTGAGCTTCTGGGACTTGAACGGACCAAAGTCTCTCAAACTCAAGTGGGTGAATCACAAAGTGGGGGGCACATCAAGCACAGGGGTGAGGCCAGCAGATACAGCCCCCGTCCCCACCCCCAACTGCCAGCTGGAGCGATTCCCCACCCCCTCCCTGAACAGAGCCGGGTGTATGGCTGCCCCACAGCCTGTGCCCCCAGCTCCGCCCTGGACCTTGGAGCCCCCATTCCTGGGACAGCCCAGGGCCCTCACCTCTCGCTCAAAGCCTTTCTCCAGGAAGATGGACCCAAAGGTATAAAAGTCGTCAGACTTGCTGCAGCAGGGCCTGTGGGGTGGCAGGTGCATGCAGTGAGGTGTGGGGCCAGGAGATGTGGGGGGCAGGGCCCGCCCTCAGGGGAAAGGAGCTACCACGGACACAGCTGGAGCTGGGCCACTGGCGGGCCTGGCCGTACAGGGGCCTCCTTTAGAGGGGGACAGGGTGAGCAGAGGTCTAGGAGCCTCACCTCGTGGAGCTGAGCCCCTCGATGGCTGACAGCATCTCATCGTCGTAGGAGTCATCCTCTAACCGCCCCTTGGGGGATGCACTTCTGGAATCAGACACCCAGGAGCCCACGTCCACTTGTGCAGAGGCAGGGGCGTGGACAAGGTGACTCACCCGAGTGGGGCTCCCGGGTGCCTGTGGGAGGTCCAGGGCCTTATACAGGATGGTGGAGGGACAGTCGGGTCCCAGGGAGGCCCAGAGAGGACAAGTGAGGGCCCAGCATCACCCAGTGCTGCCCAGGGTCCAGCAGCCCAGCAAGAAACAGGGTAAAACCCCAGCCCCCAATCCAAGGCCTCTTCCTCTAGACCCACAGGGTTCCTTCACACCAACCTCACTGAGCCTGGTTGGTATTGGGAGGGTACAGAACAGGCACCCAATCATTGTGAAGCTCTGGTTCCTAGAAAACTCTGACCCCAGCCACGGCAGCGCCGTGGTCAGGGCTGGGCCTCGCAGAGCTGCCCTCCTTTGCAGAGGCTGGTTAGGGCAGCTGCCTGGAGGAGGTGACTGGGGCAGGACTGGCCAGGAAGGAAGGCCACAACTTGACGGGGGCAGGGGACAGCACACCTACCTGTCAGGGGTCCGGTGGCGCCGCAGGGGGATGGCCTGGAAGGAAGGAGAGGAGACGATTATTTCCCAGAATGCAGGGCGGCAAGTCCATCGCCGGACTGGGTCTGTTATCTTGGATGCGTGGACAGGGTGTCAGGGACTGTCCCAGCTTCGGGCATCCTGAACCAAAGCTGAACTCAGGCTGGGGGATGAGGAGGACGGGGACATCGCAGCCACCCGGGAGCACTCTCCAGGCATCTTCTTGTCCCAGGGGGGAGACAGGGCAGAGATGTGGCCCATTTCACAGATGGGGAAAGTGGGGCTGGGCTGGAAGGACCCTTTAGCATCGGCTCTCCTGCCATCCCGCCCCGTCCACAGCTTTCTGGCAGGACGGGTCCTACCTTGGGCCTCCGGCAGTTGCGGATAGGGGTCTCGCTGCTGCTCACACTCTCGCGGTGGTTGAGGTGTGCAAAGGGCCGCGCAGCCCCCCAGGACTCGAGGTAGCGGGTCATGCGCACGGACGCCCGCATCTTCAGGGCCGCATCCCCCTTGGGCTTGGGGAGGTGCTGGCTGGGCGGGGGTGGCTGCTGGCTCTGCGGGCAGACACAGACGCGCGGCATGTCCCACCCGCTCCCCTTTTAGTCCCTGAAACACAACGCTGCCTGGAGCATAGCCCATCTGGCCAAAAGGGAAAATGGCAACAAAGCTGCCCGGTCTGCAGTCCTTGGGCTGGCTGAGGCCCAAGTGCTCTCCCTGGCTTGGCTGGAGGGGTGGCCCCACTCAGGGCCCTGCCCTCCCCGAGTGGGGGAGAGACGAGCCTCCCACAACTGTGCACAGCCCTGCACACTCTTCTCTGCCTCTCCAGCGACAGAAGCCCTAAGACCTCCCTTGCCTGGTGATGCTTCTTGAAACCAGACACTGTCCTTGGGGCCTGAAAGCCCATCTGCCCCTCCCCATGAAGGCACCCTAGGGAGACGGCACCCCGAGAAGCCACTGGCATCCTGCCCACTGCATGTGGCCAGCACACGTCCTCCCAGTGGGAGAAAGAGGGGTGCTGGCTGGCAACCCAAAGAGACTTCCTACCGAGGGGCCAGCTCCCAACCCCCCAGGGCCTCATTCTAGGAAACTCCACTCCTGTGACCCCAGATCACAGCATGGGCCTACTTGCCACGGGCCCACTGTGGCTGTGCCAAGGACATGGTGGCTTAGCCAGACCCTAACTGAGGGCCCAGCCCTGCCTCCTCCACTCACGTCCCACCCCCATTGGATCTGCCCCAGCTAGAGAAGCTGAGCAGGACTGGAAAAGGGGGAGAGATGAGAAAGACCCCGAAGACCACCAGAAACAAGCTTGGGCCATCTCGAGGCCTGTCGAGCTCCGCTTCGCCCTAACACTACTGCCCTCCAGGAGTCCCCATCTCCTTGGGTCCCTACAAACACCCACACGGACCAGCACCTACTGCCACAAACGCCCAATAAGCCACAAGTGGCAACTTCTCTGGAGATGCATAACCTCCTTTTGGGATAGAAACGTTTTTAGCCGACAGGTCTCTATCTACTTAGCCAGAGAGAATGGCATGGAATTCGGCCTCTGTGAGAATTCCAGGGTCCGAAAATGCACTGTGCCCTGCGGTGGGGGTGGTCGCATGTCTCCAGTCTCCCACTCCACTCTCAGCAACTCTTCCTACACAGCACCCAGCTAGCTGCTCAAGTTCAAGGTCGCTGGCACTTCTCTCCTAGCATAAGGAGGCCGGGCACCCCAGCTCCCTGAGAAATAAATGCGTGCTAAAGATCTGTCAGTTATGAGTGAAAACACGCCTCTTCAGAAGTGGGCCCCTGGAAGGGCTCCTGCAACCTTCACGGCCCACAGGTGGCCCCTTACAATCAGTGTAAGTCAGAGCCGGGAAAGGGCCCCACGTACCCACGGGAGGGCAGGTCACCCGAGCACGCTGGAGTGGTGCGTGCACAGTCATGAGAAGAAATGAGGGCGCCCCCTGTGCACACACAGGGGAGGGTCTCCAAGGCGTGGTCAGGTGGAAAAGGCAAGGCACCGCCTGTGGGGGGCAGGGGGGGCATGCCACTGCTGGCTTGGCAGAGAGGGCAGATGGGAAGCTTTCAATCTACTTACATGGGCACAGAGGGCTCTGTGGAAGGAACTCAAGAAATCACATGCGTCCTTTATGGGGGTGTGCTGGCTGAGGACAGGGATGCACAGGAAACTTTCTACAAGACGCCACTCACGCCTTTTGTATTTTCAACTATGAGAATGACTAAGATTAAGCAAAGGTGGGGGTGGGAGACAGCGCTGCCCAGTTAAATCCGGCATGAGACACAGCTCCCTGAACAGTTAGCTCGTTGGACTGGGCATCCTGCAGTTGCACTTGCGGGATCTGGCAGCCTGCAGGGTGGCTCCGTGCCAGGTACTGTGCTAGGCTCGGGGGTTGTAGCCTGGAGGAGGGGGACCCCCGAGCCCGCCTATGTGGAGCTCACCCTGACAATAAACAAGGAAAAGCAGAGAGAACCAGGAACATTTGGGACGGAGGGAAACGGGCTCTGGGAAGAGGGGGCAGCAGGGACAAGGGTTCTGCAGGAGGAGGAGCCTGGAGTGGAGGGGCAGGAGGCTGGCACAGGCTGCGGGGAAGGGTGCTCAGGAGGGAGGCAGCGGGTCAGGGCGGTGGGGTACACGGTAAGGGCTGGACTGTATGCCACGATGGTGAGGGGAGCAGCCCGAGGTGCCCAGGAGGGGCTTCCCCAGATGTTAACTCGGGGCCCTGGGGGACAGCAGCAGGGTGAGGCTCAAGGGGGTGGGGGAGGGGCTGGAGGAAGGTGAGGGGCTGGGGGTGGGGTGGCCCGCGGCTCCCTGGAGGCTGGTGGTCGGGCCAGCGCTGTGGAGAGCCCAGGCCAAAGAGAGAGGGAGCCGGGGGAGCCTGCCACGGCTGACATTCTTGAGCAAGCCCCAAGGATGATTCACCAGCAGCGACGAGACAGACTGGCCTCCCGGGGCCCGAGAGAATGGCCTGTGCGGGCGTGGGACAGGCTGGGAGCAGCCCAGCAGCCGCCCCCACCGTGGGGTCCTGACAGAGAACATGGGGGCACGGGCCAGCCAGGCCGCCACCCCGGGTCAGCGCCCAGGACATACAAAGATCCTGCCCAGTGGCCCCCTGGCCATTCCCTGCTTCCCTGAGTCTCATCCAAAGCATGCTTTTAAAATGTGTGTCTTTTGAAAATCCTAGAGATTAGTGACAACTTCATGGGAAGTAAACTCATAGAGACTATTATTTCAAGAGTGTTTAGGATGCGCCTGAGTCGCGGCGAGAGCTTCACGCAGATTAGCAATTTCTCCTCACGAGGGAGGTGCTGTCGTTACTCCCACTTCACAGAAAAGAACACTGAGGGCCAGAGCAGTTCTCACGTGGGGCCTAGAACGTTCCCAGTGACGGGCGCTTACTCCTGCTCCGAGCAGGCCTCTTCCACCCCTCGCCACAGCCTTGAAGAGAAAACCACTCCCCCTCCACAGGGCCCTCCCCTCACCCTCCAGCCTGCTGCATCTGAGCCATCCTACCCGGGGGTCGATGACCAGGTAGGTACGGATGTTCATCTCTTTCAGGTAGGGGTCCCGCTGCTGCCCGTGCCCATCCTCCACCTCGTACGCCTTGTCCAGGTGGTTCAGCGTCGCCTCTGTGATATGCACCCGGCTACGGAAGAACCAAGTCAGACAGAGCAGCAAGGCCCAGAGAGGGCGGGCACCCGCCTGGGGATGCACAGCAGCCAGGGCCGAGCCGGCCAGAGCCCAGGCTGGCTCTCCACACTGCGGGGTCACCGATTCCAACTCTAACCCCACCCTGACACCCCCAGCCCAGAGTTGGTCCCCAGCCCCTGACCCCACTGCTATCCACTGAGCCTCACCCGGGGACTCCAGCCGCCTCCATCCTGTTGGCGAGGGACACGTCGTGGGACCACACATCATACTGCCACTTGCGCAGCCCGATGACACCACACAGCACGTTCCCCGAGTGTATGCCCACACGCATGCTGATGTCCACACCCGTGGCCTCCCGCACCTGCCTGAGGCACAGCAGTCCAGTCACCCCACCCCCGTAGGGATGCTAGTGGGGCCCTAAACCCTAGGACGGGCTTGGGGTCCCAGGTATGGGGTGGGGGCAGAGCAAGGGTTGTGGGAGAGGGACAGGAACAGGGCAGGCCCAGCCTGATGGGGCCGCCTCCTTGAAAGGAACTGAGCAGCTCGTCTTGGGGGGGTGGGGGGTGAGGGGGTGCAAATGGATCCCCCCCCCCTGCTGTTGAAGCTCAAAGGCTGGGAGGAGGAGGAGGAATTCCACGTGTCATTAGTCAACTCTTGTTGAAGGGCCTAACGTGCTCTCACTGGGCGCTCGCCCAGCCCGGCAGCCCTGGCTGGGTTTGAACGGGCTGCCAGGGTCTGCAGAGGGGCCCAGGCACCACCCCAGACCCAGCAGAGACAAAGAAGACAGGGCCACACTTTGGGGGCCTTCTCTGGGAAATGGGAACCCTGGGGGTCATTAGTACCCCTCAGTACAAGGAGCCCCAGGTAGAGGCTCCCTGGGACATTCCCTAAACGTGAGCAGTGCCTCTGGGTCCACTGGATGAGTGTGACAGCTCAGGGAGCAGGCAGCACGTGGCCACCAACAGGCCCGGGGATGGACAAGCCTCAGGGTCGAAGTCAGAAGGCGCAGAGCGGCCTCCCAACCTCCACACATTCCGGGAGAGAAGCTGAGGCGGGGGAGGGGGACCTGCCTGCGGCCACATGGGCAGACGCAGAGCCAGGCTAGGACCCCAGCCCCAACACGTCCAGTGTTTTTCCCACCATTTCTGGTGAGATTTCAGGAGGACGGACAAGCTGGAGCTGGGTTTACACCAGGATCTGTGCCCCTGTAGGCGGCCCAGCCGCACAAACACTGGTGGATTGGGTCCAGCCCACCACCACCCACCTGACCACCACGGCGGGTGCCTCCCCAGACCACTGCTGCTGGGGCTCCAGAGAAATTTGCGGGGAAAGGATGCTGGTGGGAAGGAGCCCCAGGAGGCTGGGGGTCTCCTTGCAGCTCTGAGGGCCAGTCCCCTTGCTCTAGGGTCTTCATGGGGGGGAGGAGGCGGACGGAGCCGTGGAGTTGGTCCCCAAGTCTGCAGGTGCTTCCTGCTGCTACGCAGACTCAGGAGGAAGGCAGCCCGGCCGCGCCATGCTCACACCCCCCGGCTCCGAGCTTCTGACGCTCTGTGGGACTTGGAGACCCAGTGGGGTCACTCACACAGCTGAGCGATCCAGGCAAGCCACCTTTACTCCTGAGCCTCAGTTTCCTCATCTGCAAAATGGGGACAACGCTCTCCCTACCACGCCCTGGGAGGCAGGAGGGGCCCGGCATAGGGACAGGCCCCAACACCCTGGATCTGTCCATGGTACCTACTTAATGGCCTCACACATGTCCAGCCCCATCTTCACACAGTTCCGGGCGTGGGTGGGCAGAGACACGGGTAAGCCTGACACGCAGTAGTAGCAGTCACCCAGAATCTTGATCCGCATGCACTCGTTGGCCTACAGGGAAGGGAGAGCCCTGGTCAGCGGGGGCCCAGGGTCACTCAGGCCAGCCACCTCCCCACACCCTCCAGGGAACCAGGCTCTTTCCAGGCCAGGGACTTCCTCCCGGGGTACCAGCCACCAGCAGCTGCTTCTGGGCCTGGCGAAAGGACTGGGGACACGGGGGGTTCTCTAAGAGTAGCACCAAGCATCAGTGGCAAAACGTGTTACTAAGGGTAGTTGCCTGAGTGCCTCTGGGGGAGGCACCCCCTTTGTTTCATTCATCCAGGCAGTGTTTGAGCACCTACTGAGTGCCCTGCCCTGCCCAGGCGCTGGGACACAGCTGTGAACAAAACAGACAAAAATCCCTATAGCCTTGGAGCTCACACACTGGTGGCAGGATTGGACACCAAACTAGATAAATAAAATCTAGATAAATAGACATCCAATGGTGATAAGTGATAAGGGGGACAGGGGGAATGAGGCATGGGAGGGGAGAGGACGTTCCCAGGAGGCCAGAAAAGGTCTCTCAGAGAAGACAACATTCAAACAAAGACCTAAAGGAACCAAGGGAGCAAGGCATGCCAGTATCTGGAGGAATAGCATTCCAGGCAGAAGAAGGAAGCAGCATGTGCAAAGGCCCTGGGGCCAGAAAGCTGTTTTGAGACACAGCACAGCAGTCAGTGTGGCTGAATTGGAGCGAGAAGGGGAGACAAAGACAGAGAGGTGGCAGGTGTCAAGAGATGGCAATGCTGCCAGGGCTGCAGGGTTTGGGGAGAGCAGAAAAGAGAGATGGGGTGAGGAGAGAGGTTGGGGTCACACAGGAAATAGGCCATGGGGGGAAGGGAGGCCCCGGCTGTCTAAGGTTCCATCTAAGGTGGTTCTGCAGCCACAGACCCTCCATAAGCCCTTGGCAGAGATGGCCACATATACCAAGGCCTCAGGAGTGCGGTGTGGGGGACACGAAGGAGCTTCATGTGGACTTCTGTCCCACTTCCCACCCCACCCCCACGAAGGCCTCTGCAGGCAGCCTCGCCCTCTGGCTTCTGATGAGGAGGAAGGCGGGGGGCGGGGTACACCCCAGCTCCTTCCTGCAGGGTCCCAGAGGTCTGGCCACCCTCCTGGAGCCAAGGTCCTGTCTCCGGGTCTAGTGCCTCCGCCCACCCATGGTGGTCAGGCTGGGGTGACGGCCCAGCGTCAATGCCCAGGCATGACACCATCTGTCCCCAGGTCCCTGTACCTGCCATGCCTCTCTGAGCAGCCCCTTTACTACACCCTCTTCCAATGCCTCCATTTGAGTGTGTGCCAGCTGTTTCCTGCTGGGCCCCGTAGGGCACCCGCTGAGTTACAAATGGCCTGGCCAAGGGGTGTGATGAGAGTGGCTTTCCTAGAAAGCTGCAGGACACCCAGAGGTCAGGGCTCCAGCTGTCCTTATCTCCTCTGGGGCCAGGCGCAGGCCTGCCCTCTGGACCTAGCCTGCTGTCACCCTCCCCAGGCTGCTCCTCCGTGTCTGACAAACTGGGGAAGTTGCGAGGGTGTTGGTGGCGATGGGTTCCCGAGCCCAGATGCAATGTGACATTCCAGAGCAGGTCCTGCCTCTCAGGAGTCACAGTTCTAGAACCTGACTGCTGGTGGCTGGAGCTAGCCCTGCCCATCTCGATCCAGGGACTGGACGCCCCGACGAGGAGGTTGGCACCTGCCAACAGCCCTCCTGTCCTCATCTGCACAATGGGGCTGCCTCCTGGGTCTGCCGTGGAGGGAGGGCCGTGTCTAAGAGGGCAAGGGCAGGTCCTCGGGCTTTGTGGCAGGAAGGAAAAGGGCCCCACATACGGCCCGACTTGCGGAACTCCCACCTGCTGGTTTAGAAGTCGTGAAGGAAGAAAGCTCTTAAATGAAGGCTCCAAGCTAGAGAAGCCCCCTGAGTCACTCAGTGCACAATACCCAGCGGGTGGCAGGGGTAGGGGACAGTTCTCCAGAGCACCCCTGGCCAGGGGTGTCCAACTATAGTTTGGTTAGCCCCTGCGACGGGAAACTCATCCTCCGAAATGGAACCCACTCCTGGAGAGGCAGTCTCTCCTAAGATTGAGCAGCTCTGACCATAAAAAATTCTTCCTCGTGTGGAAGAATTCTTCTTCCCATCAAGTTCTAACCATTGATTCTCTGCACATGGAGTCCCCTGGGAGGCTCCTAAAAGCTCTCATGAATTAGGCATGGGTATTGTTTCATTTAAACTTTCCGCACGATTCAAATATGCAGCCAAGACAGAGTCACGGCCTTAAAGCTTACATTTCGGTCCCTACTTAGTGGCTACCCCTTCCAAGAAGCCGGTCTTGACCACCTGAGTCTGGGCTAGGTGCTCCCCAGTTCTGCCCTCTCCAAACCACCAGGTAGGCCAGGAGCAACTTGAGGGCAGGCTGGAGCTCAGGGCTGCCACTCAGTAGGGTTTGGGGCCATTATGTACATTAATGAATAACTGAGGGTCCTCCCCATAAACACACACCCACCCCAACCCGCCCCACCCCTGGGCTGGGTGCTGCTCTAAAAGACGTAACAGTGAGATCCCAGCTCAGCCCTGTCTGGCCTCCAGACCTCTCCACCCTTGACTATGCCGTGGAGGCTCCTTGTAAGCTCCCTTGCTTGGCACCTGCTATGATCCCCCAGGATCCTGGGTCAAGTCCCACTCCTCACCGCAGCCCTCAAGTCCTTGCATCATTCACCCTGTGACCTTGTCCCCTTCCCACTCAGTCCCATTCCCACTGAGCCACTTTCACACCATGAGCACGCTGAGCTTTTTACCTACTCCAGGCTTTTGCATATGCTGTTCCCTCTGCTCAAAACACTGTTCCCTTTTCCCTTCAGGTCTCTTTTTAGGTTTCTCAAACTTTAATGTACACACAATTCACCTGGGATGTTGTGAAAAGGCAGATTCTGGGTAGGCCTGGAATTCCACAGGCCTCCCAAGCCCCCAGGTGAGGGGGCCAAGGCTGGGGCCTTGCGTAGCGAGGATGAAGCCATCTCTTCCTCCAGGCAGCCTTCTAGAGCTGGCTCTCAGCTCTCGAGACCCTGTGCATCCCCTGGTGTGTACTGTCAGTCTCCCTACCGGCCTCGTCACCTGGGGGACAGGTTTCTAGCCACCTCAGCCACCACTCGACCCCTACTTCCACCATGGGGCCCTTGGAAGCGTTTGCCGACTGAAGGCTAAAATTCAGTCCAGGCCTCCTTGTGCCCACTTTGGCACAGCGCTGAGCACAGGACGCCCCTGTGGGTGCCTGACTTTTCCATCGGCAGAGGGGAGGTGGCACAGGCCAGCACGCTCACCTTGGCAATCTGGTCAAACTTGCCGAAGAGCTCATTGAGCATCACCACCAGCTCTTTGGGGGAGCAGTCGCTGGCCAGGCGCGTGAAGCCCACGATGTCCGCGTAGAGGATGCTGGGGATGGGGCGGGGCCAGCGGGAGGGTCAGAGCCAACTCCCCGGAAGAGGGGGCTGCAGGAGCATGGGGACCATCTGGAGCCCCGTCATTCCTGCTATTCCTCAGCCTCCACAGGGACATAAAGACAAAGTTCCAGAGGCTTCCCATTAATGCGAACCCCAGAGTGCGTGTGCAGGGGCTCTTCAGATGCCCACCCCCAAGCCCCATCGCTGCAGACGACTAAATGGTGCTTTTCTGGGTGGAGAGGGCCCAGGAACCTCAGTTCTTTGTTCCTGTGCCTGCATTTTCACCTTTGCACAGGCTTCAGAACTCAACTTCCCAGGGAGGTGCGACTCCATGCTCCCTCAAGCCAAGCTCCACACCCAACGCTTTACACAGGTCTCGTCCTCCCACGACCCTGGGAGGACTCCCACTCTACAGATGAGCAAAGCGAGGCTCTGGGAGGCTCTGGCTGCCTGGGAAGCCACAGCTGCAATTTGTCCCAGATCTCCCAGCTCCAGGGTCTATGAGCTCTGAACCATCCACAGCCCAGAGAGAAGGCAGCCAGGCCTCCAGGCGGAGGACCAAGTGGAGCTGGGAGCTGGCAGCCGGCAGCACCCACATCTACACTTCACTCAGGCTGGCACATTCAGCTAGGATTCTTCCGTCCCTTCAAGTCACCCACAGACATGTCAGGACCAGGGGTCTTTGGCAGTCGCCAAGCCCTGTGGGCCTTCACCTGCTTTGAGGGCCCCTTTGAGAATCACCTGAAAGGACTCCTTTCCTCCCAACAGTCACGTTCCTGCAGTTTTACAACTTTAGGGGATTAATGGATCTCCCTCAGCACCAATCGAATCCAATCCCACCCCCTGGGGAAACAAATGGGGAGACTGAGGCCCAGCCAGGGGCCTGGATTTATGTCTCCCTAACCCCTGAGCGGACTGGGGTCAGGTCTCTTCTGGGCGGAGAGAGCTCTGCAGACACAGGGGTGCAGGGGCCGCCTGCCCAGACCCCGGGAGACCCTGTGCGCACAGGCCCCGCCCACCCACCTGACGTTCTGGTGCCGCTTGACGTAGAGGCTGTGGAAGTTGTTGTCGGGCATGTAGCGCCGGTCCCCGCGCTCCTTGAGCCGTTCGATGATGGTCAGCTTCATACCCATGGAGATGTGCGCTGGCAGTATCGACAGCAGCAGGTTCTCCTGGGCGCCGGCGGGGACAGGCAGGCGGATAGATGTCAGGCCTCAGGCTTGGCCATCCTGGCCTCTATTTTCCTGCCTTCCTTCCTGCTCTGCCCACCACACCCTCCCTCTCGGCTGGCCACCCTTCCCGCCGTGCACACATCCCCCCGTGTCCCTGGCAGCCCCCTGGGGTGAGTCCTGCAAGGGTGTCCGGCCATGCAGCCCATGGACACACTGCTCAACAAGAGTCTGACGTCCCCAGGGAAAAGATGCAGGGCGCGGGGCCTGGCCGATGGCCCGGGACGGGCTGTGGGTCGAGGCGGAGGCAGAAAACCCCACCTGCTGGCGCTTCTCGATGCGCAGCTTACGTCGGATCTGGATACACTTGACAGTGTAGGTGAAGAGGTCGCGGGAGGCGTCCTGCAGCTGGTGCTTGTGGAAGGCGCCCGTGAGGTTCCCGCACAGGAAGATGATGGCGTTGGCCAGCAGCTGAGGGCGGGCGGAGGCGGGCTCAGCATTCAGCCCGGCCTGAGCCCCTGGGGCACTGGCCCCCTTAGCAGGCTGGTGAGGGCACCCCCTCCCCATTTCCTGACCTCCAACCCACTCACGCTGCACCCTTCCTGGTGCAAGCAGGGAAACTGAGGCCCAGACAAGGGCTGGTCTCCTGGGAGTGGCTGTGACGGCGGGACCAGGACTCAGGCCCGTCTTGGCACCCACTGGCATACCCTGCTCCCGAAGAACTTGGACCCCAGAGACCAGAGGACCTGTCACTCCCAGGGAGGCAGAGCCAAGAGCCTGAGTGGAGCACCAAGGACAGCACAGTGTCCCCCTGGCTGCCCAGGGCTCTGGCCTCCCCCTCCCAGAGCAGAGACAGGCCCAGTCAGGACAAACATACAAGTGTACATCACCACTAACGATGACTCAATTTCACTCACTCAACAGAAAGACACAAGACAGGGCACCCAGGGATGCCCCCCACCCTGTGAGGATGGGGCTGTGGGGGTGAAACCAGGAACAGGCCTCACCCCACAACAGTGCACTGCACCCAGGACGGGGCCCTGAGAGTCAGGGCTCCAGTGAGGGGCTGAGCCCCTGAGGTACCACAGGCCAGCAAGGCAAAGGCCACAGGGGCGGCTGCCTGTCCAGGGGGCCGGCGTCCCGACAAAGCCTGTCCTCAAGGCCGTCTGTCTGCAAGCAAGGCTGTGAAGCCTCGGAACCAACTCGCCCCCACAGGCCTGGCTGCCCTCTGCCCAAACCGCAGCCCCCGCCCAGAGGCCTCAGCTGTGCCACACGCCCCTCACCTGCAGCCCCACTTGGATGCTGGGCATCGAGAAGTCCCCCATCAGGGTGCCGAGCACGAGCAGGTGGGAGGTGCTGGAGACGACCCCCACCATGACAGCCCCCTGCATGGTGAAGGGCAGCAGCGTGTACGCCACGAAGATGACAAACAGGAAGAAGGGCACCTGGGGACAGGAGGTCATGAGTTCCGGGGCCCAGCCATGCCGCCCTGCCTCGGGATACAGCCCGCACTGAGCTGGAGTCGGTTCTGCAGCCTCTTGTCTCCTGGGGGTGGCCCCAGAAACCTGAATCCTGAGCCCCCCGCAGCCAGTCCGGGCCCCCCAGCACCCTGTGCCTTCAGGAAGTCCCCTGTGTTCCCCTGCGTGATGAGACATGGTGATGGGCACGCAATGGAATATGCCAAAATCTGCTTCTGGGTCGGACCCAGCCAGCATTAGCCAGCATTTCCTACAAGCTGATTTATTATCTGGGGCTGAGGCCAAGCCTCCAGGCCCCCGGGTATGACCCAGGGAGCTCCCGCCTGTTGCCTAGTGTCCACGGCTCTCTCTCTCCACAGGTATGGTAATTACCGGAAGGCTGGGGCAGGGCCTGCTCACCTGCCACCTGCACAGCGCAGCCCCACCCGCCCGTCCACTCTCAGAGCTGGCTGCCATCCCACCTGCCTGGCATCCGCCCCTTCTGGGAACAGCACCCTCCCCCGAGCTTCCAGTTAGCGTGGCTGTCGGGAGCCTCGCCCCAGCCCAGCCCAGGAGCGTCAGAGGACCAGGCCCACAGGTCAGAGGGTGCCACCCCTTGGCGACAGTGACCCTCCAGGGCTGGGTCCATGACCCAGGCCAGGGCAATGCAACTCCAGCTGGTCTTTCACCGGGGGTGGGTAGGCTGGCGGGCGGCCCTGCGGCCATCACTGCCCCAACCTGGGGACGGCCTGCCAGGAATGAAACAACTCAGAGAAGGGCAGACTGAGAGAAGTCAGGACGTGGCCCCTACCTGGGCCTGCAGGCTCCTCAGTCTTCCCTGGCACATGAGCCCATTCGTGCCTTTTTGCCTCTCTAAGCTGGAGATGTGTTATTTCCAACCCAATAAGGGGCCACCCAGAAACACCACAGCCAGATAGCCCACTTCATTGGTGCAGAGGTCTACCAGATCAGCCCAGGGCCCATCCTAAGTCATGGAACCACAGCCGTGGGAACGGGAAGGACCCCTGCCCAGCACACCAAATGCAGGCCCAGTCTCCAGAGGGACCTGATGCCCCCAGTGACACCAGGGCTCCCTGCCTGTTACCTGCTCCCATGCACAGGCCTCCTTCATCCATGAGTCGAACACCAGCACGTAGCCCAGCGTCACAAGGCAGGCCCAGGTAAGCAGTGCTGAGGCCCGGAGCCACCGCCGGACGAGGCACTCAGTGTACACCAGCACGTAGAGGGCCATGAACACGGCAAGTGTCAAGAACGCCGTCCCCAAGACAGCCTGGTGGCTGGAGGGATCCTGGGGGGGGGGGGGAACATACACAGAAATGCCACTGGCTTTCCCCCAGGGGGTGCCACCTCCTCCAGAAAGCCTGCCAGGTGAGGCGGTCCAGCCTTCCCTGGGCAGTCCCCTCAGGCTTCCTCCACGTGGGTGTTATATCTACGCCCCTCTGAACACCAGGGTCTTTCTTACCTTCAGGCTTGGTCTGTGCTGTTGTCCCTTCGAGGGCTGCAGGCACCAGCGCCTTTTCCTAGCCCCCTGTGGAGCCCTAAGCATCCTCCACAGCCCAGCCTGCCATGCTCTCACTTCCCACTCCCTCCCCATCAGGCCTCCCCAGGTGCTGTGCACATACTCGCAGGGGACAGGTGTAGGGGGACAGGAGCAAAGCTGTGGAAAGCCTCCTAGAGGAGAGGTCGCCGCTCCTGACGCTTAAAGAAGTCCCCCAGGGGTTTATGAGAAAATGATGAGCAACGCTGTCCCAGCCAGGGGACGCGCTGGAGCAGAGGGACAGCTGTGTGACAGCGGGGGCTCACAGGAGAGCAGGTTTGCAGCAGGGACAGCACCCGGTGTCCCCCAGCAGCCCTTAACAGCTCCATGAGCACAGAGGCTGGTCTAGGGGCCTGCACGCAGTAGTTACGCAATAACTATTTGCTGAATGACAAAACGAACGTCCTGTGGTTTATATCCACAGAGACACAAGCAGCACTGACAGAACACCTGCTGGGTCCCAGACACTTCACACATATCGCCCTGTCAACACTCTGGTGTTTTCTTCTAGAACGCTGCTGTCCCATACAGTAGCCACTAGCCACATGTGGCTATTCAAAAGTAAATGTACATTAATTAAAAACCAGCTCCTCAGCCATACTAGTCATATTTCAAGTGCTTAATAGCCGCACACAGTGGCTGTGGCAGGGCAAGGCCTAGGTCAGAGATGATATTAGTGGTGTCTGCCCGTGGAGCTTTGTTGACAAGGACTCTGAGACCACAGCCAGGCTCCGTGAGGAGGAGTGCTGGGACTGATTCATGATGTCTGCCATGGTATCACAACTGGGAGCAGGGATACACAGCATCCCTGACCTAGGACTTCAGTAGAATCAAAGCTCACTGTGGAGAAAAGTAAGGGTAACTTATTTGGCCAAATTAATGTAATACCTAAAACCACGCCAGACTGCAAAATTAACATTAAAAAAAAACAAAAAAAAACCCTGTCTCCTACCAGCACAGCACTTGACAGATGCAGAAACTCTGGCTCAGAGAAGATACTGACTTGCCCAAAGCCTCACAGCTACCAAGCGTCAGAGCTGAGATCTGAACCCCCGAGGAGGCGCACTGCCCAGGAGCTGCCCTCACTCACCCCGTGGCTGAAGGCGATGATGATGAGGGCGATGCAGGCGGCGATGGCCACCAGCAGGAGCGTAAGCAGCAGCGGCCCGTGCTGGCTGGTGAGGCGGTACTTCTCATAGAGCGCGCTGTGCTCTGGGCCTGCCTCGCCCTCGTGGAGGAAGTAGCACCCCTTGGCCGGCATGCTCCCGCCTTGGCACACCTGCCCAGCGGTCCACTTAGGGGGCCCCACAGCCTGCGGAGCATCTGACGGCTGACAGCCTTCCCTGTGGGCCTAGGCCTCTGGCCTGCCCAAGCCTGTCGGCCGGGGTTGGGGAGGGGGCCCCTCGGCCTGAAGCTGCATGGACAGCGCGGGGCCTGCCTGCTCCGCGGCCAGGCCTTGGTCACTGCACCACCGGGATCTTCCTTTGCATCCAGGCTGGGCTGATCAGACACGTGAGCTCCTCGGCTCTGCAGGGACACAAAGCAGAACCATATCTGACCCAGACAGGCCGAGTCAGGGCAGGGCTGGCATCGGGGGCGAGCGGGGCCAGGCCTCGCAGCCCTGGGTCTGACGTACCGGCCTTCACCTGAACCTAACTTTTCGGTCCTGTTTAAAGCTTGGCACCCCACAAGGTCCTAAAGCTAGTCCGCCGTGTTTCCTAGAAGGCACTGTTGGACACACTGGCCACTAGCCATGTGTGGCTCTTTAAAATTAAAGTTGATTAAAATGAATTAAAACTTCAGTCCTTCAGTCACACCAGCACATTTCAAGTGCTCCACTGGCAGCTAAGTGATTATTATAGTGGGCATCCAGAAACTTCTACTGGACAGCGTGGCTCTAGAGGTCTGTTTCGCTGTCTGTCACATGTAGATCTCTGATCCATCTCGATGAATGTTTGTGTATGGTGTGAGGCAGGGATCAAGCATCAGTGCCTTTTTCCAAGTGGCTACGTCCCAGCCATGGTTCCTGAAGCCGCCATCCTTTCCTTGAGAATTTCAGTGGAGCTACCTTTGTCATAGGTCAGAGGGGCATGTCTTTCCTCCGTTCCAATGGTCCTTACGTCAAGAGCACACTCAGGGCTGTAGTGAGCCCTGTGTCTCAGACCCCCTGCCTGCTTTCAACAAGAGGATCGTGTTATGTTAACACGTAAGACCGTGTTCTTTAGAAAGGGGCCGCTGATGAGAATTTAAGATGTCTGCAAGCCCCACTTCATGGAAAAGGAGCCTGAACCTTGGAGAGGGAGCACACTGGACCCTTTGTGACAAAGCTGGGAGCAGACCCCAAGGCGCAGCCCAGGTGGGCTCCCTCGTCCCCCAGCACCATTCATTCATCTGCTCATTCACTTGTCCTTAAATGGCTTGTTAATCACGCCTGTGGCACACCAGGCCCACTACACTTCCCGTGGGCCAGGCTGGCTCTCTCTCTCCCCCTGGGGCTCCCAGTCCCCAAAGAGAGAAACTTATGCAAAACTGTGCAATCCCTAGACGCAGTGATTGGGGCTCGGGGGGCAGCTGCCACATTCCCAGCAGGAGCCTTGTGTCAAGGGAGCAGCCTTGGACCAGGAGTCCAGCTCCCGATGTCCTCTGGGCCAGCCTCGGGGACTGGAACCAGGACAGGGCAGGTGGCAGGGAACAGGAAAGCAGTACGACATGGGAAGGACCAGGGCAGTCCCTAAGGGCACAAGTGACAGGTGGCAGAAGCCGCGAAGGAAAGGCGCCCACAGCCTCCAAAATAGAAGAGCAGGTAGAGAGTCCCTGAATCCAAGGAAGCCCCCAGTGAGCACCCGTGGCCTTGAACTCAGGAGCCACCTCAGGCATTATTTCCTCCAGGAGCTACTGTTCTACCAACCCCAGGAGGAAAAGGGAAAAACCACATATTTGGGGTACGGGGGGCTGTTGGTCTCCTTCTATTCCCTCCAGGCCCGGGCAGGTGTCCATAAGCCTTGATTAAACTGTTTCACCTGGGCAACCCTGTGGGAGTTGGGCCTCAGGCATCCAAAGTACCCAAAGTGCTTAGACTAGCTATGAATCTGATTTCTACGCGAAACCAATTTTTACATGTTAGCAGCTGCTTTGAAAAATTTGAGTGGTACAGCCCCCAAGTTTACGACCTCCAAGTCTGAACTCATCAGTCTTTACTCCATAACAGGCATTTTTTGAGTCATTATCAGATATGCCCAGTCCCGTGCTGTAGGCTTTGTAAAACAAGATAAGGTTCCTGCCCTGAGAGGCCGCCAATCCAGGATACCCGTAATGCAGCTGTTTGCAGTCGTAACAGCAGCGATGCTGTCACACCAGGTGCCTGCACACACGTATCCACTCTCATCATCATAACCTGCTAAGGCCAAGGTGTTACAGCCCTTTTACAGATGCGGCGCTGAGCCCAGAGAGGCAGAGCGGCTGGCCTAAGATGACACATCTGGAGCTGGTTGGTAGATAGCCTGGGATTTAATCCCAGATCCCCCAAACTAGCGCTGCTACCCGGCTTCGCTGTCTGCCTAGCTGAACTGAGAGGAGCTTCCCCACTGAGCTCCCGCCACAGCAGCAGTCCCTGGATCGAACCAGCTGCCACAAGGATACACAACGCTGCCGGTCCCTCCAGCCTAGTGCCAAAACCGGTATACCAGGATTACAAGGCTGAGAAAACCCCAAACGCCAAGGATCCAGGGCAGCTCCCAGCAGCTGCTCCATCCCCAAGGCAAACACACACACACACACACACACACACACACACACATACACACACACGCGCGCACACACACGCAGCACCCATTCCGTGGTGCCTTTCATCCCAGACACGACCTGCCCTTCCAGGCACACAAAGCTGGCTGAGCCAGGCATGCAGAGAGAAGGGCTAGTTGCGAGGGTCTGTGGAAACCCAAGCCTCTCAGAGGTCTAATTAGGCCACTTCCCGGGCAACGGCAGGAGGGAGAGGAGGGAGACAGTGGGCAGTCCTGGGCACGGGCAGTTGGGCCTACCCGGGGACCTCGGCCAGCTCCTGGGACACCTAGAGCAAGGCAAGGGGGACTGGGAGGAAAGACAGCATTTCTCACTCCTGGAGAGAGGGCCCGGGACCCCCCCACCAACGGACATCTCATCTCTAGGAGCCACCCCCAAAATGAGACCCAAGGTCCCCACCCCCTGCCAGGGAAGGTCTCAAGGCCCCCCTGTTAAATCACCACTGGAAGCCAGGGGGGCCCCTCTGAGGCCCCGGATGAAGGCAGTCCTTTGCCATGTCTCCCACGAATGGCCCTACAGCCTCAGCTTACACACCTCAGTGACAGAGAGCTCATCACCTCTCATGGTGCTCTTCTCGACCACTGAGCACTCCTTCTGGTTTTCAGTCCTCCCTTAGGTCAAGCCTATTCCGCCTCCCTGTCCTTCCCTCAGCCCCACCCCACTTGCCCCGTCTGAACTCCAAAGACACCACCAGCAGAGATGTGCACTTGAGAGAGTCGAGGCCCCTTTACCTGGAGGGACTGTAGTCCCAGGGTCCCTCACTGTCATGCACATCTCACAATAACTCTGGCGGGGCAGCAGGGAGTAGGGGGAGCACCCCCATTTTATAGAGGAGGGGGGCCGCCAAGCATCCAGTTGGGGGAGGGTCTTTCCTGCTTCTGGGCACTGTTCTCGCCTCCATGCTCCGTCCCCTGATTCAGGGGCCACGTGACCCGGGTCTGGCTCACCAGCACGGCTCTCCCAAGCCCCAGTGGCCAGTTTAAGGATGGACGTGCAGCCCAAATCATCTCAGCAAGAATCCTCTTTGGGACTTTTGCTGACCCATGGGAATGGGGGACTCTCTTTGCCTGGAGCTGCTGGCCATTACCCAAGACTAAAGCCAGCCTGGAGAACCAGAGAGAAAAAGAGGCCTGAAAATTCCCCCTTGAGCCCCTGAGTCCAGCTCTGCCCGAAGCTCAAGCCACTTCCAGATATTTGAATCCCACGGGACAGCACTGCCCCTCTCACTGAAGCCAGTTGGAGTTTTAGGATCCACACTGGGCTTCCTGGCCCAGTTTGCTTATCCAGGGAGCCCTCGCAGCCGCTCGGTGGGTCCAGAGTCAGGGGTGAGGGTCCCACGCAGGTCAGAGTTGAGAGGGGGTCCTGCAGACACAGCCAGTCCTAAGACTTCCGCTGAAAGGGGACTGGGCCAGGAAGGGGAGCCCCTCCTGTACCTCTGTCACTGTCTAGGGCAGGGGTCGGCAAGCTTTTGAGACGGAAGAGCCAATCCTGTCCCTCACAACAATTTAAAAATTATTCGAGCCATAAAAGAAATGAAATCACCATTACGTGAATAATATCCTTAAAAAATTTTATAAATGAAACTATGATAGTTTTATTTTCATTTTCAATTTTACTTCAGAGCCACATGTACGTCCCCAAAGAGCCACATGTGGCTCACGAGCCGCAGTCTGCCGACTCCTGTGGCAGCAGGAGGCTGGGGGCAGGGGTCCCCCACATCCTCTCTAGAGACTCCTCCCAGGGGAGGCATGAGGGGGTTCAGAGGCACACTTAGGTAGAAATGGATACCAGGAGTATCAGTCTCCCCACCCCCAAGCCACGGTAGTGGGCTCTGAGCACCCTGCACCCCAGGGCCTGTGACAGAGCAGGTAGGAAACGCCATAAACAAAATCCATTGTGCGCTTCCTGCGTGCCGGGCACTGTGGGTTTCTTCCATCCACACATCTGCCCTGGAGGTGGATGTGAGAACTGAGTCACAGAGAGGTTCAGCCATTTCCCTGAGGTCACACAGCTAGTACGAGAGAGCTGGGATTTGAACACAGGCCATCAGGGTCCACCTCTCGTCCTGCCCATCACCCTCACAAAGGGGGCATCCACAGAGCCGAAAACATCTCAAGATGACAACCCTTTCCGGCTCTTCCTCCTCAAGGCCCAGGACAGAGGGTAGGGGTCAAAACGGACCCCATCAAGGTACCTCCCTCTGCCTTGCAGGGCCAAGGTCAGGCAGCCTTCTCTCAGCCAGCAAGATCCAGGAGGGCCTCTTTCTCCAGGAAGCCCTCTGAACTCGTCCCTACCATCTTCTCCCTTCCCTAGAAATGGGGCAGGTCTAGCTGTGTGGTTTCCTTGCCAAATACTGACCGGTGGGGTCCAGGCTCCTCAGCCAGAATAGCTGCTGGAAACCAGAGGTTGGTGGCAGGACTGGGCCCTCGGGGCAGCTGAGGAAATCCTTCCCCAGCGAAACTGACTGACCTGGCAGCACCCCAGCCCTACCACACCCCTTGGGGAGTTCTAGACCACCCCCAGCTTTCACAGGCAGGCACCCACTTCCTCACCCAAGTGCTGCTGGCAGGAACCCCAGCCTGGCTTCCTCTCGCCGAGCCCTGGCAGGCCTCGGAGCTGCACAGGGCCTGGGGCCCTGGTGGCCTCAGAAAGAGGAAGTGCAGGCCTTGAGACGCGGGGTGGGAGGACAGGCAGGCCTGAGGGGCCCCACGCGGGCCCTGGGGGCCAGG